ACAGCAATGAATTGCGTGAGCATAGGCTCGGGCTGTGGTATAAACATTTACTACGCACTTGTTTCGAGAGGCGAGTTAAGTTTCATCCGTAGCGATGTTGAATCTTGCTCGTCCAGAAAGGTGAAGAGACAGTGGATGAAGACTTCGTTTTCTCGACAGAGGACGGACAACTGCGTGCATCTTGGGTTGTGAAGAGGCTTGAAGTTGTCGATTGCCAAGGTAAAGGCTTTCCGCTTAATATTGGTGAAAGACTGATTCCGCTCTCCGGTGCCAGCATCATTTACCTTGGTGTCAGCAATCCTGTTACGAGTGCAGACCTGGGACCTAGACCGGTCTTTGAGCGGAAGCTCTGTCTGATCTTTGGATTTGGGATGCAAGTTGGGATCAGCTGACCAGCTGGGTGCATGGCGCTGAAAGCCACAGCCGTTCTATTTTCAGAGGGCTTTCGAAAGGCGGTGGCGTGTGTTAGGGTTTGCCGCAGCACCTGGCAGGAGATAGTGCTCTCTCGACTCTTTGAATGGTGCGAACTGGCAGTCACTCAGCAAGCCTTTGAATGGCTTGCAGCACAGCATCTCTGCCAGCATCCGATTGTCTCGTTTTGCCATCCTAGCTCTTTCTTTGCCTTGCTTGTGACAAGGCAGTGCTCGCCTGACCTGCGCCGAGTGTTGCTGGGCTCCCGCCTGTCCTCGCTGAAGAAGGGCAGCTTGAAAGCACAAATCATCAAAGCTCCACGAGCTTGCTGGAGAGCGTGCTGCGGATACTAGCAGTCTTGACAGGCTCTTGTGTCTTAGCCGAGCCATTGATGACATGTTCCGTCGACACATGCTGACAGCACCTCCATCGAAATTTAAGGCAGGGTACTTGGCAGCGGCAAAGGCCTCGCAAATGTTGCGTGCAGTTGCTCCAATTTCGCTCCCTGACATGCGTCGTCGTCCAGGCCACACGTCTCTTCTGTGGGAGCTACTGACCTCGATCCGCATCTTCGCCCGCATGACGCCAAACGGCAAGATCAGTGCAGGGCGCCCGGCAGGGTACAGAGAGATCCGAGACGAATGGTGTGAGTAGGATAACTTACGACGAGTGACAGTTGCACATGAACCTGCTTAGCTCTCTTCATTCGCTTTGCGGGGCTCCAAGGTCGTGGAAGGTTTCATGTCCCAGGGGCTCATCTGCATCTCGGAATGCACTGGCCGTCACGGCCTTGCCATCAACAGATTTCACAATCCCAAGAAGCTTCACGTAGCGTGACTGTCGGCCCCGAGACACCCAGGTGCCATGGTCGGCGACGGTGGAAACGACTCTGGTGCATTGCGCACAGCACATGTCGGGCACCTTGGCAGGCCAAAAGTTGGAGCGGAGGATGCATCGCAAGCGGGTTCAGATCGTTGCTTCGTTGCTGGCTCTCTCCCTGTCTTTCTAGCTCCTAGGATGGCCCTGAGCTCGGCCACCTCGGCGACGGTGGTCGCCCCCTTCACCACCTGTCGGCCCAGTGTGGCGCCCATTGCGGACCTACTCCGCGAGGGCAGAGGCCGGGCGCAGAGCAGGGCACAGCCGGGAGGCAGCCTCCGTCCGTCGTCGCAGAGGGCTCCTTGCCTCCGACTGCCACGCTAAGCGCAGGGAGCGTCCTCTCGTGAGGCGCGCTGGCAACCTCCTTCGCTGGATACAAATACTGTGCCTCTGTTGTTTTGGAAACGGCTCGTTCCACCTCCGTCTCCTTTCCGCTGTCTTCGCGGCTGAGGTGTGCACTACGGACTGTTGAACTCGGTGTTGAAGTTCAAGACCTACTGGCACGGTATCTTGGCAATTTTGGGAGAATATGGCTATGAGCGGAATTTGACAGAAGTGTCCCTGCACGAAGTGTGCCTCATGCCACACACAGACTCGACGCGCGGGACGTGACAGGCATCTCTCAGTCCATGATGGCGGCCTACTTCCAGGCTCGCCTCAGCCGGCATAGTATAGCCTGACACGGCCACTTCGCTGAGCGGCACGACAAAGCACGTAGCGTAGCACCAACAACATCATGAACCAGCACGGCGGCCAGACCAGTGTGCATCACGAAGACTCTAGTTCTCTCAAGTTTGTTTTTGAAGGACATGATCGGATTCCTCAGCCTTTCCTGGGCGATGAGTTTGGCAAGGCTGGCGGGCTTCTTTGTCCAGCTTCAAACGCAGCAACACAGCAACACCTGAGCAGTACTGCAGGGGTACATTCAGGCCCGCTCCAGTGCTCGCCACCAGCCGCCCAACCTCCTCGCTCTTTTCGGGCTTCACAGTGCCTTGCTCTGACAAGTTCTCAATCTGTCACTTCGGAGCTGCACCGGGCTTCAGACCCGGATCTGTGCCTGTGAAGACAAGCAGCAGGTGCTCTCCGTGGTGGGTATGCTCGGGCTGAATGCGCTCTTCCTGGAAGTAAACTGGAACATCATAACATCGGACGAGGAGTATGTGCCATTCCCCGCTACATGTCTGATTGCAGTCTCCCACATTTTGGTTGATCTTGATGAGCCGTGGAGTAAAATCTGATTGAACATGCACGCTGGTCGGTTTCGTGGAAGCGCACGTGTCAACTGCCTAGGTCTGTGCATGTCAGCCCAGGTTCATAAGGTTCGCATTACGCAGTGGTGGAAGCTGAACCGGAACTGGGAGGTCACTACCCTTTTCTTCACGCGCCTTGGCGCTAAATCCTCAGCCTCGTTGCAAAGTTGCAGGCAGTCTGCATCTTATCGATCCGACATTCTGAGGTACACCTTTCAACTCTTCTGGTCTGCCGTCGTGTACTCCTTCGGTGATGTCTTCCGACTTCCCTGGTATACGAACTTAGCCCCTCGGCTGTCTAGATGCAAAGGCAGAGCAGTACCTGACGACTTCTGGCCAAATGCTGTTCCAATGCTTCCTCGCCCAGACGGGTGTGCTCTAAGCCTAAGCCCGCCATCATCCACCCCAGCCCTTCATCCGAGGTGCTGATGGCACGCGCCCCGGAGTCGAGAAAAACACCGTTGCCATTGTCATTGTAAATGCTTCGCGTCAAGGGGGGCAGGGCAGGGTTTGCTTGAGGAACGGCTGTGGAAAGGAGGTTTTCTGATTTGCGGTCAGAATCTCTGGTCGTGGGAATTGTTGTCGGGAGGCGTTGAAGACGCAGGGGAAAAAACGAACGAGGAACCTCTGACCGCTTCGACCCAGGGCCGAGGCGGTTCAAAATCATGTTGGAACCCAGGATTGGCGCAACAGGTTTTAGCAGACTGCTCGTAGGAATAATTACAAGTACATACCCCTCCACCGAGAGCCTTGTTGTGGCAGCTTTGTCACGAGTGTGTGCCTCCGGATGCAGAGCTCTTCGAGTTGCTTGGAGCAGTGCTTGGATGGGGGATGATGGGGGGCAGGAGTCTTTAGGATTCCCAGGAAATGATTCGGGCGGAGGGGAATGCCCCCCGTCAACCTTTGCACCCGTTCCCACACCCCTTGAGCCCCGCACATGTATTCCTGCGTCCGTAAACGGAGGTTGCGATGTCGAGATCCGAGCCGCAACCTACACAGTTGGAATACAAACACCCAGTACGCGGCTCTACGGGACAGAACTCTTCACTGATCTATGAGTCATGATTGCTGTTCGAGCTAGTCTTGGAGCCGCTGAAGCTTTGCTGCGGTGTCTGTGCATCTAGCGACCTTGGCGAACAAGGCCCTGGTGGCTGTGAACTTGGGACTGCTGAGACTTGCCATGAACGGGACATGTTGTGACGCTGTTTCGCGATTCAGACAGATTCTCAGATGCCCTGAGTTCCAAGGACATTCTTAATGTTGAGCAGTCCAAACTGGATGACTCGCTTGTTCAAGCTCGTCTTCGAGGAGCGCTTAAGGTCTCTGACATAAACTAAACTCTGCTGCCGACTTGCGAGGACGTCACTGACTCCGATCCATGGACACGAGATGAGCACTTGGGCCCACTTGGGATCTTCGTGTTGGGATGTGTCTGGCTCTGGCCTTCCCATGCTCCCTTCCTGCTCTTGACTTGCTCATGCCTTAAGGTATTGTCCAGCAATGCCCAGATCTCTTCGCTGCCATCTGCTCTTGGTGATCATGTGCAATCTCACATGCACGGCTTTCCTCGAGAAGGTACTCTTCCGGTATTTTCAGCACTCGTATGATCTGAAGCCATGCGCCCTCGCCGACCCGCAGGTGATCATCCAAGGGCGAGTCGGCGACTACATGCGGGTGTTGGGACGTGTCTTGGCAGCGGATCCTTTGCCACCGCTACTCATCATGTTGATCTGGCTATTCGAGAGAGTTTGCCTCATGCGTTTAGGTGCCTGAACTTGCAACCCAGATGCCTTGAGAAATCCTCGCTCAGGTGCTCTATCGAAGCATGTCACTTTGCGGTTGTGAGGAACCTGAGCTGCTGCTTTCACAAGCCGCCTGACAGGCGCACACTGTCGCACACTTGCTCCCGAAATCGGACATGCTGTGGCCATGTCGTGTCATTGTGCTGAATGAAGTCTTTGTTTCGTGAGACCTGCTCCGTGGACCAACTCGTTTGACCTGATTTGGGCAACGGATGGTCGCAGGGCTCATGCATCTCACAGCGGTGAGGATCAATTGTTTTATACCATTGTTCTGCTGCAGCTGGGAATGGAGGAGCAGTGTATCCTCTGTCTTTGGTTCCAGTTTCCTGATGCAGTCAAGAGCTTGTGCGAAATGCACGTTCCCATGAATGCCACCACCTGGTGGCACAGATGTTAGATGATTGTTCATACGGACGGGCAGAGGCGTTTTCAACTTCTTGGAAATTACCCCAAAAATGTCTCGCGTGTAGTTCAGAGTTTAGAATATCCCTTTCTGTGCGTCCAAGACAATCCTCCAGACGGAGACCCGCCTGCTCAGCTGGTGTCTCTGTGGCACAGATCCGCTGCCGGTGGGCCGAATAAAAAAACGTACCAAGTAGTAAGAAGCTCGGAAGCGTTCCGGGAAGCCCAGAGTCAGTTGGACCCGACATGACCCGACCAGGCCTATGCCTGGTCAGTGCTGCAGTCTGGGAAGGACTTGGTAGGCGAGGGCCAGCTGGGGCAGGAGGTGTCTTTGGAGGTGTGTCTTTTGCTGGGTCCGGTCCCAGGCGTCGCAAAGACCGGCTCCGGCAAGACCTTAGCCTTCCTTCTCCCTGGTTTCGTGAAGCTCAGGCTCCTTCCGGTCTCTGCGTTCGCTGGCTTGCGCGTATTTGCGCGTTTTCTGGCTGTGCCAGGAAGCTCAAGAAAGCTCAGGAAGTTGACACCAAGAAGGGGCCACGACCTCACGTGCCAAGCATGCTTCCCAAAAAGGCGCCAGGTAGTTTTGCGCCGCCGAGGCCTGCACTTCTGTGCATGACGCCGACGCGAGAACTGTGCCTGGGCGACCAACCACTTCAGAGTCGGTGGGACTTTGGCTAGCGGCCCGTGATGGTTTCACATGGGTTGGGAGTTCGAACTCAGCAGTTTCGTGTCATATCTGCGAGCTGTCATTGTCATTCCCGTTTGAGACACGATCTGAGGTGTCACCAGATTTATTCGGATGCCGAGAAGTTCGGCGGCCCAGCTTGGCCCCCGGCATTGATGGATGTTGGTGGCTGTGCAGGTGTTGAGGTACCAACTTCGGGTCGTTCTGGCTTGGAGGTGCAGATAACAGCTGCGTGCTGTTACGGCGGCGCCAACCGAAAGGACCAAGAATGGGTCGGTTGCCTGGAATGCTGTCTTATCCTCAAAGCGACTCTGCCCTATTCTGCCCTAGACTGTAGGCAATACAGACGGGCCCGGACTGCCTCATTGCCACGCCCGGTCGACTGAATGATTTCGTTCAGAAGAAGCAGGTCCGTCCGGCACCCAGGCACCGAAGCCGAAATGCGGTGCTCGGAAACCGGAGCCGGAAGCACCGGAAGCACCGAAGCCGGAACGCCCGAGCGAGGCTTGGACCAAGTCCGGTTTGCCATCATTGACGAGGCAGATCGCATGCTCGTCCTGGCCTCGGCCGGACGCGTCAGCAGCAGTCCTTTGATTTTGCTTGAAATTCAACCTGACTCTCGCGTTTGGTCCTACCATCTGAGGACATGGGCTTCGAACCGCAAATCAAGCAGGTCTTGGACGAGGCTACTTCGTGAGCAAGCGGAGAGGTTCATGTGTTCACGTTGGTGGTCCGTGAGCAGGTCCCCTGGCACGACCGCCAAACCTGCATGTTTACGGCCACCTGGCCACAGGACTGCCGAACCACTCTGGGCCGTAAGCAAGGCTTCCGCTTGCGCTGTGCCGAAAGCTGTATGTGTCTTCTGGGGACACTACTATGCGCGCATTGCATTGTTGCCTCTCACCCCTCCCAAGCCCTCTTCAAATTCGTCAGGAGTGCAAGAAACTCGCGGAAACCTACATCAAGGATCCCAGCTGACACTGCATCAAATCCATCCATAGTACATGATCTGATATGAGGCGACGTACAGGCATCGTAGTGCATACATGTGTGCACGAACAGGCGATATGAAGGCTGGGTGCATGTATATCGATCGGCATTTAGACGGCAATGTGTGGATGAGTTTGCATTTTCGTGTACATGTGTTCAGGTTAGCACGTAAGTGTGCACTCCTGGATGGATGGATAGATGGACGGACAGATGGATGGTTGGTCGGTCTACATGTATGTCTGCATGTATGTATGCATGTATGTCTTCTATGTACACATGTACGCATGTATGCATGTATGTAGCACGTATGTATGCATGCATGTATGTAGGTAATGTAGTAGGTAGGTGGTGGGTATGTAGGTAGGTAGGTATGATGTGAGTATGTACTTGCATGTATGCATGCATGTCTTGAATTTGTCTAAGTGTATGTGGCCGTCTTTGGCCTCTCTGCGCCCTCTCCGCTCTGTCCTGACTTGACACACTCCAGCCAAGTGTACGGGAAGGCCCATGAGCGTCGTTGGCGTGCCGCACCCTGCCCTTTGCCCCTTGCCCTCTGCCTCATGCCCCCTGCCCCAGAGAGGCCAGGGCAGAGAGGGCAGAGGTCAGGGCATAGGGAGGCGGGCAGGCAGGCTGTATATATATATATATATATATGTATATATGTATATATATATATATATAATATGTCTATGTACATATATATATATATATATATATATATATGCATACACACATATGTGTGTGTGAGTGTGTATGTATGTAAGTAAGTAAATATGAATGTATAAATTTGTGTATGCATCTAGTGAAGACGGGTACCCCAAGACCCCACGTCAAAATGTCAAGGGTGGGAATGGAGACACTCACGCATCGAGTCTGTCAGGACCCTGTGCAGATCCAAATTGGATCTGGTGAGATCACCACCAACAAAAATATAGTGTACCTGGGCTTTGGCTTTGGTCTTGTGTTCAGCTCGAGTGCTTCCGGCGGAATGCTCAACCATTGTGTGAGCTGTTCCTTCAAGGTTTGAAGGTTCGTTGATCCTGAACAACTGAGGCAGCACGTCAAGATGGTGGATCGCGACTCTGACAAGCTGGAAGCGTGGCACCCTCAGTGACCCTCGTCACCCTGAACATGTCCTGGCCAAGCACATCCAAACGCAAGCAGAGCTAAGTTGCTCAGCTTGCCTGCTACAGTCTTCGTTTTTGTTTATGCGTTTGTCTACAACTGAATTTGATCATTCCCTGCTAGAGTCTCTCAAATATCTCAAATCTTTGTCTCTCCAAGACCGGCTTACATGCGTTTGACTTGCTGTGGACAGAGTCTGAAGAGCTTGTCGTCAGAACAGAGAGACGTTGAAGTAGAGACGGATGCAGGAGGCAGGCTAGAACCACTCTCGCAGAGACTGGGTCTCGAGAAGTTACGTAGGAGCGAAGACAGTCGGATTGAGTAAATGCGGTTTCTTCGAAGGATTCTCATACCTGGCCTTGTAACGGTTGGGAAGCATGTTGCGGGATGACACGAAGCGGCTTCAGAGAACATGCGCGAGACAATTCCAGAAGAGCCGACGCAATCAACAGCTGACTCCAGCGAATCTGAGTCCTGAAGCCTGTCCTAAACTTGGGAATTCCCGAGCTGTCGCGAGCAGGCTCAAGGAGATCCTGCGCGGCTTGCCCGAGGGAGCCGGCTGCCTGGTGTTCTGCAACTCCAAGAAGTGGCCCACGGCGGATTTGGCATAACCGTGCCTGCCACCAGTATCTTTTGTGGCTTGCTTGTGGTTTAAGGTTTTTGTCGAGGAGCATGCTTGCTCTACGGGTAGCTTGAAACTGGGAATCCTGTTGGGAGTGTGCTCCCATGACAGGAAGTGCGGAACCTTGAGCTGGGATCTCGAGGGCGACACGGAGTTAGGCGCCATGGGATGTCTTCCTTACGGGTGCATGCGAAGCACTCGGAGCGAAGCGAAGCGAAGGCATGCCGGCTACAGAGCTGCACGGTGACCTGGACCAGAACCAGCGCGACAAAGCTCTGTGGAAGTTCAAGTCCGGAGAGGAGCCTTGCATGAGCAGCAACTCCTTCGTAGGATTTCGTAGGCAGCATTCACCACCGCAGGCGCGAGTCTGCGTGGCCACCGACCTTGCCTCGCGCTGCACCCCAAGCCTCCTGCATTCTCTTGCCGCAGAGAGCTGCCGCCAGTAGTGAAACCAGTTTCATGAGGCCGCTAGTTGTTCTGCAGTGTTTCGCCATAGTCCAGGCGGGCTGGACGTACGGAACATCGGCGTTGTTGTCAACTACGACGTCTCAGTCCAAGCTGTGCATTCGATGCTGAACCATCCGCGAAGTTTTGGGGAAGTACGAGCGAAACTACAGGCACCCAAATCGGCGGAGGACTACGTCCACAGGATAGGCCGCACAGGCTGGAAAAGATAGTGTGTGGAACAGAGGTCTGCGAGTGAAAAGACAGCAGCTGTAGATTTCTGGCATTTGTTGGCCTCAACAGTGCCGGGTATTGAAACTGAATCACGGCGATACGACGGAGGCCGGGCAGAGGATTCCGGCGAGGCCTACACTCTCTTGTTGCCACCCCAGGTGTTTTCGCAGTGGCGTGGAGCGAGAATTTGCAGGGAGAGCGGGAGACCGAGCTGGAATTTCTGAGGCTGAAGTGGGGCAACGAGGCTGAAGCCAAATATATCGCCCAGATCATGCGCAAGGCGCGACATGGCATGTCGGATGCCACCCAGCCACTACCACCAACACCACCAGCACAAACACTGCAGCAGCAGCAGCAGCAACAGCAGCAGCAGCACCCCAGCAGCACCAACAGAACCAGCGCCAAAGCCGCCGCCGTAGTACAAGCACCAGCAGTGCACAAAGATAAAACCACTACAGGGTCCTCTGCCACTCAGGGATCACACACAAGTACGTCTGGGAAACTAGGGCCACCAATACGACCAACTTAAGCACCGGCGCCGCCACCGCACGCAAAACGTGTGTGCAGAATTGCAAGCTTGAATGTCGCCAGGCCAGTCAGGATGTCCCAGAGGACGTTCAGGCATTGGGAATTTTCAGCGGGGTGGGAGGTTCCTGGCAGATTGTGGCAGGATCTCTACTTCGGCACGATGGCCCACATGTTTTGTCAGACTCGTCCTTGCGGAGGAGTTGGAAAAGAATGCCGAAGATGATTGGAAGAAGGCTTGCAGAGATGCAGAGACTTGACAGCTGGTGCTATTCATCGCGACGGCCGCCAGAGCCTGCCGTCAATGAGCAGAATGTGAGGGTCCTTTTAAATGGCACCCCCCGACCAAAACTTTTGGCTTGAATAGTCTGGTGTCCCTGACCCTTCGGACCGGGGTCAGGGTCTGGGTGAGTGGCTTTGATTAACCATAGAAGGGGAAAACAAGCCACAAAGCTAAGGAAACCCTCCTAAAGCCCTTAATTGGCAAGCAAGCCTTCGTAAATCCCACAGGGCCAGGGTTTTGGGGTTTGGAGGGGGGTTTTATTTCAGGAGGGGTCGGCTTAAGTAGGTGGGGTTTTCGGATTTAGGGGGGAGTGTTTGGCTTTCAGGGCCAGGGTTTTAGGGTTTGGAGGGGGGTTCTATGTCAGGAGGGGTCGGCTTAAGTAGGTGGGGTTTTCGGGTTTAGGGAGTGTCTAGCTTTCAGGGCCAGGGTTTTTATATGCGACTGATTGTGGAATTGCGACCAATATTTTTCTTGATTGCAGGGAATTGTATGAAAGGGCCAAGCTTGTTATATGCAGGCTTCATAAGATGAGGATTTGCTCTGACCATCTTGCCAGTGAATGTGTGCAAGGCTTCGAATTTCTTTGGGGTTTGGAGGGGGGTTCTATTTCAGGAGGGGTCGGCTGAAGTAGGCGGTGTTTTTGGATTTAGGGAGATTGTCTGGCTTTCAGGGCCCGGGTTTTAGGGTTTAGAGGGTTCTATTTCAGGACGGGTCGGCTTAAGGAGGTGGGGTTTTCGGGTTTAGGGAGAGTGTCTGGCTTTCAGGGCCAGGGTTTTAGGGTTTGGAGGCGTTCGATTTCAGGAGGGGTTGGCATTAGTAGGTGGGGTTTTCGGGTTTAGGGAGAGTGTCTGGCTTTCAGGGCCAGGGTTTTAGGGTTTGGAGGGGGGGTTATATGTCAGGAGGGGTCGGCTTAAGTAGGTGGGGTTTTAGGGTTTAGGGAGAGTGTCTGGCTTTCAGGGCCAAGGTTTTAGGGTTTGGAGGGGGGTTCTATATCAGGAGAGGTCGGCTTAAGTAGGTGGGGTTTTCGGGTTTAGGGAGGGTGTCTGGCTTTCAGGGCCAGGGTTTTAGGGTTTGGAAGGGGGTTCTATGTCAGGAGGGGTCGGCTTAAGTAGGTGGGGTTTTCGGGTTTAGGGAGGGTGTCTGGCTTTCAGGGCCAGGGTTTTAGGGTTTGGAGGGGGGTTCTATGTCAGGAGGAGTCGGCTTAAGTAGGTGGGGTTTTCGGGTTTAGGGAGAGTGTCTGGCTTTCAGGGCCAGGGTTTTAGGGTTTGGACGGGGGTTCTATGTCAGGAGGGGTCGGCTTAAGTAGGTGGGGTTTTCGGGTTTAGGGAGAGTGTCTGGCTTTCAGGGCCAGGGTTTTGGGGTTTGGAGGGTTTTTTTTATGTAGGAGGGGTCGGCTTAAGTAGGTGGGGTTTTCGGGTTTAGGGGGAGTGTCTGGCTTTCAGGGCCAGGGTTTTAGGGTTGGAGGGGGTTTTATGTCAGGAGGGGTCGGCTTAAGTAGGTGGGGCTTTCGGGTTTAGGGGGAGTGTCTGGCTTTCAGGGCCAGGGTTTTAGGGTTTGGACGGGGGGTTCTATGTCAGGAGGGGTCGGCTTAAGTAGGTGGGGTTTTTGGGTTTAGGGAGAGTGTCTGGCTTTCAGGGCCAGGGTTTAGGGTTTGGAGGGGGGTTGTCTATCAGGAGAGGTCGGCTTAAGTAGTAGGTGGGGTTTTCGGGTTTAGGGAAAATGCCTGGCTTTCAGGGCAGAGTTTTAGGGTTTGGAGGGGGGTTCTATGTCAGGAGGGGTCGGCTTGAGTAGGTGGGTCGGCTTAAGTAGGTGGGGTTTTCGGGTTTAGGGAGAGTGTCTGGCTTTCAGGGCCAAGGTTTTAGGGTTTGGAGGGGGGTTCTATGTCAGGAGGGGTCGGCTTGAGTAGGTGGGGTTTTCGGGTTTAGGGAGAGTGTCTGGCTTTCAGGGCCAGGGTTTTAGGGTCTGGAGGGGGGGTTCTATGTCAGGAGGGGTCGGCTTAAGTAGGTGGGGTTTTCGGGTTTAGGGAGAGTGTCTGGCTTTCAGGGCCAAGGTTTTGGGGTTTGGAGGGGGGTTCCATGTCAGGAGCGGTCGGCTTAAGTAGGTGGGTTCGGGTTTAGGGAGGGTGTCTGGCTTTCAGGGCCAGGGTTTTAGGGTTTGGAGGGGGGTTCTATGTCAGGAGGGGTCGGCTTAAGTAGGTGGGGTTTTCGGGTTTAGGGAGAGTGTCTGGCTTTCAGGGCCAAGGTTTTGGGGTTTGGAGGGGGGTTCCATGTCAGGAGCGGTCGGCTTAAGTAGGTGGGTTCGGGTTTAGGGAGGGTGTCTGGCTTTCAGGGCCAGGGTTTTAGGGTTTGGAGGGGGGTTCTATGTCAGGAGGGGTCGGCTTAAGTAGGTGGGGTTTTCGGGTTTAGGGAGAGTGTCTGGCTTTCAGGCCAGGGTTTGAGGGCTTGGACTGGGGCTTAGGGTCGCGGGTGCCTTAAGATTGACCATCAGCAGACAGGAGCAAACCCGGCAAAATCCCACAGCAAAAAAAGCACGCATTAATTAAGCTGTTTTTTTGTTGTGCCTGCTCGAATACGTAAAAAAAACACCGCATTAACTAGGCATGCGATACTAAAAGACACAGAAAAGCTGAGGGTCTTCTGTTTGTGGAGATGAAACGCTGTATTATGTTGCAGGGTAATTGTGATGTTGGGGTTCAGCTGCCAGTGTGCAGCGGTTGTGCTGCGAAAACGTTGTTATGCTCGTACTGGCTCGAGGGGGTACGAAGGAAGTGCTAAGATTCGACAGGCCGACGCTTCTGGGACACACACACACACACACACACACGAAACCAAACGGGTTCTATCGATCATGGGTGCTCTAGATAAACTTGGGTAAGGCTCTGCCCACATCCGTTGATGAAGCTGAGCACCGGGAAGCCGCAATTGACAGGGCATTTTTATTGGGCGAGATTCCACTTGTGTTGTAGCGCATGGAATACATGCCACACACTGGTAGCAAGTGATCGAAAACAAAGCACCATGAAGTGGACGTGTACAAATTGCCCAATGCACGGACAGCAAATCGCCCAGCGGCGGCAGTCGTGGGAAATGTGAGCATTAGTGCCTAGTAAATGGAGGCACGCTTTCGGGCACAATTGAGGCACAAGAAACAAGCACAAAGTCAGTAACTAAGTTGATCAAGAAGGCAGCAGATACGCAAAAGGAAAGTGCGCACCCTGCCAAGCACAAGCGGAACTCTTAGGAGGAAGTGACAATGTTGTTGCTCAGTTTTCGAACGAATTCGTTTGTCTTGTGCGATGGTTCGTGATCACTGCCAAGGAAGGCAGTGAGGCAATCGAATTTATGTTAGGGTTTTGTTGCTGCTGTGCCACATGTCTGGGTGATGTGCATATATCTGGGAGGTAGCAGGGTATTACGCTGACTTGGTGACTCCAGTGCAAGCAAAGACAGCAACTACTTCGAGTGTCTTTGGACCACCAAGCCCTCAGTTTGTTGCTACTGAATACGTTCAGGACGACTGGAAAAAGGATGAAGATTGGAAACAAGATGACAACAGTTGGAAAAAGGAGGACCAGCAGATGCAGCTTTGATCTGGGCGGAGCATTCTTTCTGGCTGGTGTAGCAGTAACAAGAAAGTGAGTGTTAAAGGACGACAGCTGGAAAAAGGACGACTGGCAGAAGCGAGGGCCTCGGAGCACAGCAGATCACTGGCAGGTTGCTCTGAATCAGACTCAGGAATGACTCGAATGGATGGAACAAAAAGGACCAGCCCAGTCATTCTCGAATTGGATCCTGTTGCGAACATGTTCGGTTGAATCATACTCAGTGACCGTCTTCGTCCCGCGGCGTATAATCCACAAGCTTTCTGTCGGGCATGCTTTGGTTGCAAGCGCTGCCTGAGACCCCGATGAAGCGTGTGGGCATGCACGCAACTCAAGATGTAGCCTGTGTTCGTTCGTGTTTTTGCATGTCTCGGAGATTCAGGTGAATGCCGTGCGACTTTTTCATATTACTAGATCCGGCTTGCAATTCTGAAGTGACCCTTTGAGACGAATGCTGTATCATGATGTGTTTTGCAATAGGTGCTGCATGCGGTCGCGTCACGTCGCCGCTGTTGATACCCGCTCAGCCACGGGTGAATCGCACTATTGTCCGGAGGGCAGGTTCCTGGCCTGCTGTCGTTCTTATAGGGAAGCTTTGTGAAATCCTGCTCTGGCAGGTAAACCAGGTGGGTGTAGCAAACCGCTATGTTTGTTTTTCGACTGAGATGCACTCTTTTACATGCGGCCCAATGATGTCCTGCTCATTATACTCCCCAGTTTGTTACGCGCAGCCACAAACGGCTGACACTTTAGTTTACACTACCCAATGCGCTGTAGCCTTCGGATGATCATCTTCAATGACAGCAAATACATTCACGATCCTAACATGCCTTTTTACATTACACCCTGGAGCAGAAGGCCGCGCTGGCTGAAACCTGCTATCCAATAAACCCAAGCTCGACGTCGGACGATTCTACCTCCTTTAAGTTCGTAAGGTCGTTCAAGCTCGAAGGGTCCAGTAGCAGTTAGAACGTTGGAAGCATTGAAGGTGGAAAATGTAGATGCAATTTCAACGCCATGAGAGCTCCAGAGTTCGAAGATGTGGAAGGTTGAAGGTTTGCAGTTTTCAGATGCGCCGAGTTCTTTTCACAGCCCGCCGAGTTTCGAGTTTGAAAGTCTGAGAGTTCGAAAGACTGAAAGTTTGAAGGGTTGAACGCCTACAAAGGCTCGCACCAGGCCTATGCTCATAGGACAGTTCGTTGCTATCTCAACATTACTGGCAAGACTTCTATAGAGAACCTCCCACTGCTTTCGTGGCCCCCTCGCGCGCTCATAAAGCGATGACGGCTGCTCACGTTCCATAAACCCGGCCCCTCATCACGTTGCATTTCTCAACCCCGCCCCCTGATTCAACGATGACGGTTGATCACATTGCATAGGCCCCGCCCCTCATTAGTCGATGATGGGTACTGGTAATTACATTTCAAAAATCGGGCCCTTCATCAGGCGATTACGGCCCGTTATGGGGCCATGCTGCTTGATGACATTTGACATCCATGCCTCCTGTCTTACCTTGAGTCATCATGATGTAATCATGTTGAATGTGGGGTTCCAAACGTTGAAGGCTTAAAGAACCCCGACACCGGAACTTAAACTGCTTGCCAGCAGCCCATTTGCTGTAAGGTAAATATGGCATTGCTTGCAGTAAGGTGTTGCTCAGGGTTTAGGTTGTTCTGCCGCCCCGAAACTTAAAACTCCAATCCCCATACTCAAGATGCAAGCCATGAACTAGATGATGCGCTCGTAGAGCTTGACAGTAGAGCACCGCTTTCATGCTCAGTAGCTAGTTGTTTTGAAACTGATACATGCAGTTTCAATTATTTCGTGTCCCAAACTTTCAATCCACGAAAATTGCAGCCTTGGAACTCTCAAGCTCCGTGTAGTTCGAGCTTTCCAACTTTCTAAAAGTGTCTCAGACTTTCAACCTATTCAACCATTGCAAGTTTCGATCCTTCAAATGCTCCACTGTTTCAAAATGGAACTCCTCAAGATCAAACTCCGACCTCTTAAAGTTTCACACTCGGGCTTGCGAGGCGCCACGTGAACCTCGCCGGAGCTACACACTTTGAACAGAATTCACGCTCAACCCCCTCAAAAAGTTAACCCGGGGCTGATTTCAACCCGAAGCATTCAAACTTTCCAACTCCAACTCGAAACTCATGGTTCTCCAAGCTTTTGAAGCTTTCAATCTCCCCATGGTACTGCTCGAATGTATGCCAAAGCCCTCAACATCCTGTTGCCAGACAGGGTATAAGAGTTCCCGGTCAGGACGAATGGAAGAACGATAGCAAAGATGAATGGTCCAAAAAGGACGACTGGAAGAACAATGAGGCCCCGAGTTCCGTTTCCTGGTGTGCGGGGTGTCTGGTGTCGGAGTGGCAACAGGCGCTGCAAAATTCAGGCGACAGAACAACACTACTAAGCCAAAGCAGTTATTTTTTGCAGAGTGTCAGGCGTGAAGGGTGCTCGTTCAGCAGTGAATCCTTTCCTGCCATGGTCATGGCTGCGACCAGGGCGGCTGGAAGCGATCAGCATGGAGCCATGAGGACGAGCCCTCTGCTAAGGATCGGGACCTGATCTGAGCTGGGGGATGCGAGAAGAGGAAGCTTCCAAGGAGTGTTGGGAGTGGATTGGGGACTGATTGTTCTTCGAAGGTGGAAATGTAACGTTTGGAAACAATGTTTGCCACAGGGGTTTGCAGCCTTGCAAGATGTTGCAAGTTGACTGGACAAGTCCTGCAACAGTGAGCCACAACCCGGCTGGCACAGTTGCCTTTACGTCAGTCCCTGTGATGAGGCACATTAAACGAGCTGGCTCTCTGGTCAGAGCAAGTGTGTTTGTAGCACCTGCGACTCATGAACGGCATGCCTCAACTTCCACCATTGTAGGCTGCTTATTCTGGACGGTCCAACGCAGAGGCTGGGTGCGAGCATGTTGGAACCATGTGCAGCTTCGCAGTGCCCTGCCTGTGCTCGGCTGTGCGCTCTCGAGTTCTCGCGCAGCGCATTGCATTGAACTTAGGGTGCAAGACAGGAGGGCTTGCAGAACATCTCAAGCATGCTCTTGATGCGAGCACGCGGATCACGCGGGAAAGACAGAAAAGTCTGACGGTGGGACAGCTGTGAAATTATGTCGAACACAGGCAGCAGATGCCATCGTACGCGGGCACGAAAAGCAATGTGGCCACTGAAGGGGTCGATCTCAGCCACAGCACACGTACGCGTATCGCAGGCTCTGCTTGGCCGCTCCCCCAACCCAAGCGGCAGGTTCGGGAGCTCTTGAATGCAGGCAAGGGCCAAAGCTTGAAGGCCAGGACGCTGGAATGGGTAACGTCACACGCACCACGTGCTCCTCGAGGTGACCGAGCTTAAAGCCTTCCTAGACGAGCAAGGCATCGACAGTGCGTGGGGCCTGGAGTTGGAGTGGAGTCTCAGATCCGGGCATGGGCACCAGGGGGTGCATGCGGTGGGTGTGAGGTTGGCATGAAGAACGACCTTATCGAGCGCGCGACGCAGGTGGGAGACGCGAAACCTCGTCGCTGCCGCATGCTGCCACTGATGCTCCACGACAACGACGAGACGCTATACTGCCCCCTTATCACCCGACCTTTTTGGGGGCGTGCCTTTTTGGTGTGTGCGAGCGACATTGTGCGAGTTGTGCTTGCGCGCTCGGACGCGCGAATTTCAGCATGCTCCTGATAGACATCGGCCCGATGAGCACACGGCACAGAGCAACGAGGGCACCTCTTATGTTTCCGGAGCTCTGCCCATGTTTGTGGGAAAGGGCTGCAAGTACGGAGGAGGTGGTGATTGTGGTTTGAGGTTCACACGGCGTCGGGGTTCGGGTTCTGTCCGATTCTGGTCACACTGACGGACGCCGGCCAATGGCCGGAAATGGAGCGGAGGGCCGTGCTTTTGCTTGTTGGCAGCTGCATCGGTCAAATCTCGCTTTGCTGAGTTTTCTGTTGGTTTGGCTCTGCATCGTGAGCAGGCGTCCTGGTAACTGAGCTCGCAGCATCCAGAGATGCTGTTTGCCGGCAGTCAATTTGCTGTGAGCGAACACTACTGCCGAATTGGAGACGTGCTCCCGGGATGTGCGCAGCCTCTTATGCCGAATGTGTACTCGGCATCTGACGGGGCCCCGCCAAAAAACGCCAGTGGATTTTGGTGCTATCCGTGCTCGAAGCAAAAAGCTCATCGCTTCAGTGATGGCGTGGTGTTGAGAATGCTCTATGGACATTGAAGTGTCACCGGCAGGTTGCAGGACTCGAAGCAGGCTGTTTCAAACAGCAAATGTCTCTTGTATCTGTTATTATCTGTTATGCAATGTCTCGGTGCAAGCTGCCACGCGCAGCTAGAAGGCCCATCCGAGGTCACCTGGACGATCCTGTAGCCATCAAGAGCCATCTCAGGCCCTCCCCGACCCCTACCCCACTGCCTGTGAGGCGCTTCTAGCACGAGTGAGGCACGTATGATGGCAAAGAGCGGCTGTTCCGCATGTCCTTAAGAGCTTAAGAGCCCCACGGCCCCACGGCCCAGCAGCCCAGCAAGAAGAGGAAGAGACCGCCATGCCGCCATGTCGGGGCCTCCCTCCGAGGCCGAGGCCGCCGAGGCCGCCGAGGCCGTCGCGGCCGTGGCGCGGCCTTCGCTGGACGGGGACGGAGGAGTCGCCTGTGGCGAGTCGCGGCACTTGCAAAAATTGGATTTTCGAAGGCCCCAGCCCTACGGCCATGACCAGGACATCGGGCCGAAGACTCGCCAAATGCGTGGGCTCAGCAGACCATGGGGCGAATGGCACCACCGCCACAGGATGAGGCCGGTCAACTGCAAAGACTCCTTCCTATGGCAGACTGACAGCACAGCCACGAAAGCTGGTAGGTCATGTAGCCAGGTGCATGCTGCATGACTTGCAGGAGGAGTCTCCGACCAGCACGGCACATTTTCCATTTGGCCTCTCACACGATCCTTATGGCACCTTCGTCAAACAGCAGCTCATGCTTCTGGAGGACGAGCCCCTGGGCGTGAACCCCTAGGTCAGCTACATCATGTTCTGTGTTCGCAGTTAGCATGTACTTGCAAACGGGGGTGCGGGTTGGGAGAAAGGTTCTGTATGGTTCTGCACGTGCATTTATGTGGGCGGGACATGGGACACCTGAGAAACTCGCTGCTCACGCCCCGTTTCCTTTGCCAAGGCTGCGCTCTCTTGGGATGGAGGACAGCTTGGTGCAGGAGCCGCTGGGCACAGCAAATCCCTGGTCGTATTTTTCAATAGGACGCTCTGCCGGAGAATTCGATCTGCTTTCTTTCGAGGAGCAGCTTCGAGCTTTGGAGGCTGGGCAGAAAGGACATAACTTGCGGAAGTGGCGAATTCTCTGAATACGCATACAGGATGGTCAGGATGCATCTGTTATCCATAATCAACGCCGTTGGCTATTTAAGTTTCTTCAGGGTGGTCCAACATGGGTGCCGGGAGATGAAGTGGCAGTGAAGACACAATCCCGATTTTTCGTTCGTGGATTGGTTCCACGCCACTGCCCATTGCTTTCTTCAAACTCCACCCGGCATTCTCACATGATGTGCCTGAAGCCTGACCCTGCACCCTAATTCAATTCAGCCGAAATACATCCTGGACATTCGCTACAGTAGGCTCCAGAAGCGCGAAGCCCTAGCGCCTGTGTCCTTGAGCAGAGCTGCGCTCGGTGAGGCTCAGCTTCGAACGCGCAAGCCCCCGACACTTGCGGGGCCGCAGGACGGAGTTGCTACTGGTAGTGTCATCCTCGTGATCCATCATCTGTTTCTACTCACACTTGCGCGCCCGTGCGATTGACTCGGTATTTAATCTACTTTCGTAATGTCCTCCCATTTCTTGTTGCGTCAAATATCCACTTGTCGCCTGCCTCCAGAACCCTGGCTTGACAAGCGTAGTTGCTAGGTCCGGGAGGGGGGGGGGTAGTAGTAGTATAGTAGTAGTTGTAGTAGCAGCAGCAGGAGTAGTAGTAGTAGCAGTAGTAGTAGTAGTAGTAGTAAGAGTAAGAGTAAGAGTAAGAGTAAGAGTAGTAAGAGGAGTAAGAGGAGTAAGAGGAGTAAGAGGAGTAAGAGGAGTAAGAGGAGTAAGAGGAGTAAGAGTAGTAACAGTAGTAAGAGTAGTAAGAGTAGTAAGAGTAGTAAGAGTAGTAAGAGTAGTAAGAGTAGTAGTAGTAGTAGTAGTAGTAGTAGTAGTAGTAGTAGTAGTAGTAGTAGTAGTAGTAGTAGTAGTAGTAGTAGTAGTAGTAGAGAGTAGTAAGAGTAGTAAGAGTAGTAAGAGTAGTAAGAGTAGTAAGAGTAGTAAGAGTAGTAAGAGTAGTAAGAGTAGTAAGAGTAGTAAGAGTAGTAGTAGTAGTAGTAGTAGTAGTAGTAGTAGTAGTAGTAGTAGTAGTAGTAGTAGTAGTAGTAGTAGTAGTAGTAGTAGTAGTAGTAGTAGTAGTAGTAGTAGTAGTAGTAGTAGTAGTAGTAGTAGTAGTAGTAGTAGTAGTAGTAGTAGTAGTAGTAAGAGTAGTAAGAGTAGTAAGAGTAGTAAGAGTAGTAAGAGTAGTAAGAGTAGTAAGAGTAGTAAGAGTAGTAAGAGTAGTAGTAGTAGTAGTAGTAGTAGTAGTAGTAGTAGTAGTAGTAGTAGTAGTAGTAGTAGTAGTAGTAGTAGTAGTAAGAGTAGTAGTAGTAGTAGTAGTAGTAGTAGTAGTAGTAGTAGTAGTAGTAGTAGTAGTAGTAGTAGTAGCAGGAGTAGTAGTAGTAGCAGTAGTAGTAGTAGTGGTAGTAGTGAAAATGATCGTCATCATCTTCAGCAGCATCATCATCACTACCGCGATTGCCATGTTCAACGTATCATCACCATCCACCGTAAACGCAACATCAAACAGCATTATTTACCATGATCAGCATCATCGCCAGACCCGCCGACTGTCAGTTCAGGGAAGAACGATTGTTTTTTTGACGTGTTTTCGTTTGAACTTTTCTTCTTTCCAGAGAATGTGTTGAGCATGGCTGCCATTTGCTTACTCGGGAAGTTATTCGTGACGTTTGCTGCCGTCGCTCTGAAAAGGCATCCCTCCCCTCCCTAACTGACTCGAACACGACTTAACGACTTCCTCTTCTGGACGTTTTGATTTATGAGTGACTCTTTTTGTCATCGTTCTCGGGAAGGTTTTTTTTTCGGGTTGGCCTCCTTTTGGGGTCTGTGGCGGTGCTCCGTTCTTTCATTTCCCTGCAGGGTAATCGGTTCTGCGACTCATCATCTCCTGCCCATGGTATCACAGGGCTGAGGCTTTAGGGTTTAGGCTGTCGGGATGCGGGGATGGGCTTCGCTGTTCGGGGTTCCCGTTGTAGGATCCGACCTTCGGGCTTAGGCTTCAAGATTCTCTGGGCTCGCAGTAGAAGGTTTTGAGATGCGCAATCGCGATAGGGTCTAGGTTTCTGGCTTCATCCGTTTACAGTTTAGGCTTTTTTCTTTGAGAGTTTTGGTCTTGCGGTTTGGAGAGGCTACAAGTTTGGGTTCGCAAGGGGTTTGTTTTTTGGGGTTGACTTCGGCCGTGTTCTTAGGACTTCCACTAGAGTTGCTCGAGTCCACGGTTGGGTATCGGTTTACGGTTTACGTTTCGTGATTGAGGTTTGGATAAGGGCTTAAGGTTTAGAGACGGTGGGTTTCGGGTTGAGGGTTTAGGGTCTAGGTTGCAGTTTTGGGTTTTCAGGCCGTGCTGTTTCGAGTTTAGGGTTTGCAGTTGTCGTTAAGGTTTGGATAAGGGCTTGCGGTTTCGGGTACGGTTGCAGCATAGGCTTAGGTTGAGGCCTTTGGTCTTAGGGTTTCTGGTTTAGGGCTTGAGGATTTGGGATGCAGGGTTGAGAGGGTTGGCAGCTTCAGGCCGTACGGTTTCCGGTTTAAAGTTTACAGCTTAGGGCTCAGGTGTCGGTGTTGAGGGTTAATTTGGTTCGGGATTAAACACGGTTGGTACCTTTGAGGGTATACGGCCTTGGGTTCACTGCTTCTGCATTGCATAGCTCGCCTTCTCTGGTTTGAGGTGGCTTGAGGTATGTAGCCTCCAGGTGCAATGTTCCCTCACATCTATCTTATCTATTCTTGGGCCCACCCTGCTGGAGGAGACGCTGGTTTCCGCCGGCGCGCCGCCTCGCGGCCGCTCTGCCAGGCGAGTCAGTAGAAAAAGTAAATTCCAAGCAGGTGCAAGCAACAACACGACGAAACAGTCTGAGCACAGCCATTACTTATACTAAGCAACAAGTAGCTAGGTTCCCCAGCAGCACCCTTTTGCCCTTTTTCTTTTTGGGCTCCTTAATTAAAACCAAACAGGAGAAAAAGGATACCCTTATCATTACGGGGCTACTGGGGAACCTAGGTAAGAGAGACCACAAGCACCACTAAGCCACCGGCTCCTACAACAAGACAAACCAAGACCACCAGGACTAGCACCGCCGCGAGCACTAGCAGCAGCAAAGAAACTGCAACGTTTCTACCACACGAACACTTTCTTAATTCTTCTTTTGCGTCGTCGTCGTCCTCCTCCTCCTTGGCACATCATCACCACCAGCAGCATCATCATCAACCTCTTCTCATTCTTTTTCTTCTTATTCTTGTTCTGCTTCTTTGCCATCACCGTCACCACGACTATCGTAACCATCGTAATCATCATCATCATCATCAACAACTTCTTCTGCCTTTTTGCCATCACCGTCACCTCCACTATCATCATCACCACCACCATCTGCATCCTTCTCTTCATCATCGTCATCATCATCGTGGTCATGATGATCATCATCTGCCTCCTCATCACGGCCATCATCATCATCATAACCATGCTCAACATCAAAAGGTTCAGCTGTGATAGAAACGGTTATTTTCAGTGAGTTATGACAAAGACTCACTACAACTATGACTACAGCCATGTCACTCACATTATTCGTAATCGTGCTTACTTACGTTAGCCTGATGATGACGATGATGTTGATGTTGCTGATGATGAGGGTGATGATGACGAAGATGCCCGTTGTCATCACCATCATCACCACCACCATCATCATCATCACCAGCCTCATCATCATGCGTCACTATCATCGCCATTATGCGGAATCTTGTTCTTCGTCTTCTGGACAGCCACAGCCACAACATGCCAGTGCCGGTGATCTTGCTCAGGTGGGCGGATGAGGAGAACGGCTACGGGGATGTGGTGCAGAATCAGGCGGGCGCAATGCAGATGCACGAGCGTCAGGCGGGGTTCCGGGGCTTCCTGGTCACGAGTGTTGCCGAGCAACGCCGAGTACGGATTGCTGACACCGCCTCTCCCACTATCCACCGAGGCAGAACTCGTATTTCTGCCCATGCCTTGCCAGGTGGCCCGCCAAAGACAGCAACTGGAATACAGTTTCGCCGAGCTATCCCGCAACCCACATGGCATGAGCGAAGGCCCTGCAACATGTGGTGCTCGGATGCACTTGTTAGAAGTCCCCCAAACTGGCGAGCCCTCCAGCAGGCGAGATACTTCGGAGCAAGGCCTTGGAGCAGCGCGTGCAGCAACTGATCGATCCTTGGCTCCAGGTTTATTCCCTGCCGGGCCGGTTTCTCTTGTCTGTAAGGAAGGGTAAGTACATCCACAAGACGATGCGAGCGCAAGGATAAGTGAGGGAGGTGGACTCTGCAGCTTTCATCAGAGACAGAATGGTGTGATAAAATCATCCCATAGAAGTCAATTTGGTTTCCATGACCGTTGGGGCCAGGAGCGTCGGGAGCAGCGCGAGCGGCTTCGCAGTGGGAACCCACCACGCACGGCTGCACCTCAGGTTCCGAGGGCAGGGCCGATCGCTGTAAGATGTCACGATCACGATTTGGGGAAGCTGGCTTGCGGCACAAGCTTCCAGGGTTTAGGGCCTTTAGGGTTTGTCCCATCGTACCAGCTTTCAACCCCATCAGTCCCAAAGCCTAGCTAGCTTGGGGCTTTCTATTTCTAGTAAGCTCAACCAGCTCTGTCTGAAAAATTCCTAGACCGACAGTGTGTATGCATTTTTTGGGCAATAAGCTGTGTACTTTGCTGATTGTAGCCGTGCACAGAGACGTCAGATCGCAGAACGCCGGGCTTGATAAAATTTCACCATCACACTCGCAAGGCCGAAGCAGTGAACTCCGAAGCAAGTGTTAGCAGAGGACATCAGGCATCGAAAGGTGAAAAGCGTTTGCCATCTTTCAGGCAGTTCCAACGGTGCCCGGCCCGGGCAGCGGTGCGGTGCCTCCAGGGCCGACGGCACCGCGGCGAAGTGTAAGGGCCATGTAGCCCCAAAAAATATACCTCTGGGTCGGGCGTGGGGGTCAGCAGGAGGGCGATTCTGCGGCGGGCTCGCATGGCTCGCACCCAGCACTGCAAGTGAGGCGAGCTTCGTCCCGTTTGGTGACCGTGGTCTTCTACCGGAAGCAGGTGCCCGTTTTGGAGCGAAGTCAGATTCTTAACGGGGTGGGCAAGCGCAGCCAGGAGATGATGCTTTTGCTTCCCCGGAAGCAAGCCGCTTCCAGTTGGACCCGTCTGCCGTAATGAGCCTCAATTCCAATGGCAGCTGCGGCAGACGCATGCACGCTCGCAGTTTGCCTCCCGAGGACGGCTCGGAATTGGAGCCCTGGGCATTCGCGGCCTGACGTGGCACGGTTCGACCTGGACTGTCAACTATCTGTGGGTCGTACACAACATTCTGCACCCCTTTATGAATTGCGAACTTGCTGCACAAGCAGTTTTTGCTACCCCGCACAAAGCTGCTCTAGCTGGGATTGCCTGACATGCACGATCACGCACGCACTGCAGGCCTTGTAAGAGAACCTGTGCGACAAGCGTGCAGACGACGGGTTTGGTTTCCACGTCGGTCAGTGCTGTGTGCACCCGCTTGGTTTTCCACACTGCGCAGTGCCGAGTGCGAAACATGGGACCATCTCCCGGTGTGTGGTGTAATACTCCAAACATGACATTACTGATCACTTTGTGGTGTTCAGCTAATGCATAAGTAGTTGCAATAATGCCTTGAGCTGCACTGTGAAAGCCCGATTTACATCGATACCAGCAAAACGCATGTCATGTCGATCGGCGTTCACGCGTGGGTCTTTGGTTTCGCAGCCGAGCTTGGAGACCTGTGAGTAAGTCGGTTCCAGGATCCTGTGACGCAGCGTGATTGGCTGAGACCAGGCCAGGGAAATCGGCGCGGTAGCTTGCACATCACAGTCTCTGTGACGCATAGGACAGATATAGAAAAAGACTTTGCCAGGGTAGAATGATACTGCGTGACTAATATCCTGTCTGATGCCTCGTATCTGCGTTTATTTGAGGTACAATGGTGCCCGACTGGAACTACACTCCCAGCTACATGCGCCCCCAACTTGTTTCAGGCGCGCGCAAGGCGAGAGCAATTCTAGATTCTAGAGTCTCTTTCTGACGATGCCTCTGGAGGCCCCGCACATCCTGCACAGCCAGGCCTCATGAGTCAGGCCGCGGCTTTGAGGGCTGCGGGACGGGGACAAAGCGGGCCCTGCGCAACCTTTGCATTTTGGAGGACTCTAGCCCTGCTCACGGCACGGCCCCAACGCTGTTCGATCCGACTAGCTGCGGACTTATCAGACATCCTCATGCTCTCCCTTCTTTTTTGACTCTTCCAGGTCCCCACGCAGCCAGTTCTGGGCAGCGTTCGCAGCCCTCGTGGTGCCTGGCCTTTGCACTTCGCACCGCAAGTGCGGCGTAGCTTTGAAGTGCGAGAGCCCCAGGCGCAGTCGCTCCGCCAGCCCGGGGCCGGCCACGGATGCCGCCGTGGCGATCGCACGGGACCCGAGGATTCTGCTTTGGCGTTGGCTCGCCGATGTGGCTTCCTTTCGGACCTGAGGGCGACCGCGTAGATGAGGAGCTGATGCAACAAGATTTGATTGGTCTGGCACATTCTACCAGTACTGCTTGCCGTGGGATCAGTGGCAACAAGTAGCGGAACCTGCAGTATGCTGTCTTGCTCTTGAAAGGATCCGATGTCTGTCATGGAGCAAAGTCGCAAAGTTGCAGAAGATGCGCTGTACCAGAATGAAGCAGGCTCGCACTTCGCGCGCTGTAGTGCCAGCTGCCAATGTGGCGTGCATGCAAGCGGAAGGCCGTAAGAAAGCAGAACGTGAACGCCAGAAGGCGGCCGAGGAGCAAGCTGAAGCTTGGGACGACGGTGGCCATTCTCGTTGCACTTCGCGACTGCTCAAGTGTGTCGTGCAGTTGGAGTAGGTTCTGCACGACCGCTTCCCTGTTGGGCACATGACAAGTTGGGGCGGGTCTTCCGCTGAAAAGGTTGTTTCTGCAACTACTGGTTGTAAGGGATGTAGCAGCACTCTTCAGTGTCCGGTTTCTACTGCGTGACAGTGCATGGCAAACCTCTCCCCGCCTCACATGCTTGAATAATCTTACAAAAGGCCGGGAGACCAAAAATTAGAGATGCAGAGAGAAGCGCTAGTTTGTTGTTCCGAGACATGCCCACGGAGGTGTAGTTTAGCAGTTTAGCGCACATGACGCCGTGCGTCCCACCAACAGACGGTCAGCCCGAGGGCTCGCCCTCAAGCCTGATGAAAGAAAGAAAGAAGTGTGGTTTCCTCGTCGGAGTGTCGAGCCTTATGTCGCATCCGTGATGTTTCGCTCGCATACCTGGTGTTCAGGAGCGGCGGAAGGCGGAACTGGCAATGCAGCAAGCGGCTCCACGGCTAGAAAGGACTGAGAATGGCATTTCCCAGGGACACCCAACTTCGGCCCCCCACAAAACAACCCGCATCGTCTTGCTGGAAGTATTACTACGTATTTCTGTCTCCCCAAATACTACACTGCAAACTGCTAGGTGGTATATGTGTTATTACCTGTCATTACGTACTACTACGCACTACTTACTACTACGTACTACGTACTACACACGCTACATGCTACGTGCCACGTACGACGTACAATGTACGACGTACTACTACGTACCGCCGCGTACCACTAGACTACGCACCACTACTTGTACGTACCACTACGCACTATACTATGTAACTACTACTACATGCGACTACTATGTGCTCTACTTCCCATAATTAGCTTTAAAGCGCTATACGACGTACTACTACGCACTGCTGCGTACAAGCACGAACTACGGCGTACCGCAGTAGTGCGTCGTGGTACTACTGCGGTGGTACTGCTACATTAAAACTACTATGTTGGTACTGCCTTGTTAACGGCTTAGTACTACAATGTTATGCTAGCACTGCCACGTTAGTACTAGTACATACTACTACGTAGTAGTGCTATTGTGTATTACTACGTACTACTACGTACTCCTAGTATTACAAGTTACTAGCACTACTAGTTGTAGTAGAAGTTGTAATAGCAGTAGTGGTAGTAGCAGCAGCAGGAGGAGTAGTAATAGTGGTAGTAGGAGTATTAGTAGGAGGAGTAGTAGGAGTAGTAGTAGTAGTAGTAGTAGTAGTATTAGTAGTAGTAGTAGTAGTAAGTAGTAAGTAGTAAGTAGTAAGTAGTAAGTAGTAAGTAGTAAGTAGTAAGTAGTAAGTAGTAAGTAGTAAGTAATAAGTAATAAGTAGTAAGTAGTAGGTAGTAAGTAGTAAGTAGTAAGTAGTAAGTAGTAAGTAGTAAGTAGTAGGTAGTAGAGGTAGTAGGTAGTAGGTAGTAAGTAGTAAGTAGTAAGTAGTAAGTAGTAAGTAGTATGTAGTATGTAGTATGTAGTGAGTAGCGAGTAGCGAGTAGCGAGTAGCTAGTAGTAGTAGTAGTAGTAGTAGTAGTAGTAGTAGTAGTAGTAGTAGTAGTAGTAGTAGCAGTAGTAGTAGTAGTAGTAGTAGTAGTAGTAGTGGTCGTAATACTACTGCTGCTGCTGCCGCTACTACTGCTACTGCTTCTAGCAATAGCTCTTCCTAGGCGATGGCGATTGATCTCAAATCCTGAGCTCGACCCGGCATGAGTGGTTGGCTGTTGATCTCATTCAAGCCGATCCCTCATCAGGCGGTGCCGGGAGATCTCATACTTGACCCCCGAACAACCCCTCTAGCCAGCACAGGCCTACGTGCACAATGGGCTCGCGTCCGCGTGCCGAGTTTCGGTCAGCCAAGGAGGAGGATCGCTTGCGTGCAGAGCGAGAGTTCGCGGAGGCCCTGTCAAATCCGTGGTACCATTTCATGAAGTCGTCTTGTAATCGCGACTGCGTTAGAGTTCGCTGTCTTGTTAGTAGCTCGTACGAACTCTTCACAAGTCCGGTGTTGTCGTGACTGTGCTCTGCTACAAATGATCGTATGGCGATGAAGGCAGAGCAGACCCGGCGAGAGGAGGCGAAGCAGCGGCAACGTGACAAGCGTGGGGCGGCGATGGCCTCAGCGCAAGTAGCCCGGGGGATTATACATGGATCTGAGGATGGCGATGGCTAGGGGCTGGCTGCAAAGCTAAGTCGTGCCAGCACCACGTGAAATGAGACGACCAGGCCATGCGCAAGCAGCAGGATTCAGAGAAGAAGCGAAGGGAAGAAGAGGCTCGCGGCGTGTTGGCCACCTTGCCTGCCGACTCCTGCCGACCTGCCGGCCCAGAACGCACTCTGTGGCAGGAGGAGATGCGCAGGATGCAAGAGGAGATGGATGTGCAAGCGCGGGAGGAGAGGGATGCAGCAGAAAGGCACGGCGGACCGATGGGAACCCAATCCTGCCATTCCCAATTCCGTCGTGCTCGGCAATGCTTCAGCTGTTTGCAGGGAGCGGACAGAACGAGAGCGAGCCATGGCGGAAGAAGCCGAGCGTCTCACGCGCCTCTCCTTACATGTGAGGCACAGGTTTGTGTTTCAGTCTTCGCTCGCCATGATTGCAGAGCCAGTAGTCGGCTCAGAGTCCAGGAAGGGAAAAATGGATCCAAAGCTGAATCCACGACGTTTCTTCGCCAACAATGCGAAGCTGGACGGAAAAGCCCGCAGCTTGGCAAAAGCCCCCTGACAACATCGCTTCGCCCCGGTTGCCACTTGCGGTCCGTGACACGCTCCCTCACGATGTATCATCCAGTTGCCTGCTAAGAGGCAAGGAAGAAGTGGAGAAGTGCCGGGAGTTGATGCAGAAGCTGATGGCAACGGAGGCGGCGCGCTTCCTCCAGGCCGGAGGTCATTGTTGCGGCCGTGCCTTACGATCTCGGCTGCCACGTCGGCAGCAGTTAGCGCTTTGGTCTGCTCTGACGCTGCAGAGGCTGTATGGAGGGGCCGCGGTCCTCGCAAAGCGCTGAGAGCTTTGAAAGACATTGAGCCTGTGGCCTAGACTCCCAGACAGAAGATAGATTCCTTGAGGTTTAGTTTCAATCCCAAACGAAGGCGCGCCAAGTTCGATGCCACCAAGCGGCGCCTGGCTGAGGCCGCTGAAAAGATCGCAAGGACTGGCCGAAAGTCATAAGGCTTTTAAGGGCTTGAAATGTTCGTGCCGTGAAGACTTGACGGATTGTGAGACCTGGTGGGATCTTCGTCACAGGTTGAAGACGGGGAAAGGACCTGAATGCATCGACCAGGAACAAGGAGCGAGAGCGGCTTGCGGCGCGACTGAAGGAAATCTCTGCCACAGATCCTTGGATGCTCGGGTATGCCTGTCGCTACTGACATGTCCTGTATCCGGTGCTGAGGCCGCACAGTAACTAGTGCTGCGCACGTACGGACATGCGTGTAGCTGATGTGCATGTTGGTGTATGTTGATGATGTGGTTCGAAAGGTTCGGTGTTCTCGGTTTCATCAGGAAGCTATCCTTCGAGATGTTTGGAGCAAGTGGCGCGAGAGAGCGGCAACTTGGCTTGGCCGCAGAACGTGAACGCAGCGGCTTTGATTTTCTTGATGTCTTAATTTTGTCTTAATGACTCTGTCCGTATGTCCTGGGGCATGTCGAAACTGACTCGTCTTGGATTTCGTACTGGACGAAGGCCATCAAGATGCAAGCGCACTTCCGCGGTGCACGGAGCCAAGTCCTATCGAGTGAAGGCAGCATGTGTAGCATGGACTCATGCGACGTTTGTGCCGTTCTTGGTATGTCGCAGGCTGAGCAACTTGCATGAATTTTCGCTTGATTTTCGCGAACAGGGCAAGTAGATGCGCACAGCATCGCACAGCCAAATATGCTTCCACAGCATGGAGCAATTCCTCGGAACCAGACGTCACAACACTCCCCTACTGATGCTCTGTCCAGAACAGATAAGATGGTCAAGGTCGGTACGGTCATGTGCGTCGGTGTGAAAATCCGAGCAGCATGCAGCAAGTGCAAAACTTACTTCCAATGCCTCGAAGAAAAAAGTGCCGCCAGGAATCGTGAGAGACCTTTTCATGTCATGACTCCATCCAAGTTTAGAAAGAGATGCTGCGCTATATTTTATGCACGAATGCTGCAGTTTTTACATCAGCTTCGATTGTCGGTCAGGTTTCCTTTCGTCGACCATGATCGGCTGAAGCAGTGCACTATGTTTCCTTGTATGTCTTATAGCAACTCAAAGTGATGAGTCGCGAACTTGGGCATGGTCGCCGTAAGACTTACCTCGTAACTTGTGATGGTGGCGAATCAAGCCCGAGGCCAAGACACGCAAGCAGTTTGCCAGTCGGTGGGCGCAACATCTGCGTGAGCGCGAAGCTGCGAAGCAGGCACATGAGCGGGCTGTCGGACTTGCGCAGGTTGTGGTGCTTAGCGGGTCCTGAATGCATGTCAACATCTTTTACGGATCGCCCTGTGACGCACTTTCAAGTCGGCACTGCATTCATTGGCGACAGGCAGAATGAGTGTGCTCGCCAGGAGCGGAAGCGTGTGTGGGCCGAACGTCAGGCGGTGTCTCATCCTTTCAACTTCAACGGAATACTGTATAATATACTTCGAACGCATGAAATCAGGAACGCTGGGTGCTGGAAGCAAAGCGGGCTCGGCGCAAAGCCTGGGATGCAGAGGCGGGAAAGAGACCTGTTGTACTCGGGTGTGCAACAAGCTGCGACTGCATGCTTTCAAGCAGAATAGGTCGCGCATGCTCTGGGCCGCGATTCCACACTGCATTCGAAACTGCTTGCAAAGGTAGCCGCCATGCGTGAGCGTGTTGCGCTGATGGACCCGGAACCGATTCCAAGCACTTCCACAAGTGGGTTCGATTTTGAAGGGATTGCCATCGGCCGGGTTCGGCGCTGTGCTCCGGTCAACAGTGATTCCCTTTAAAAGACGACAGACGACTGGACACTCACAGGACTTGGAGCGCCGAGAGCGTGAGCTGGCGGCGCTCAGGTCGGCGGCTGAGAAGAGTACGAATAACAATCGTTGAAGCGTATGGAGGCAACAGAAGTTCCACTCTCCATGAGGCTCCAATCGGCTCTCCGAGGTCAGCTGGAGCGTCCGAGCACCTGGAACCTCTTTGGCAGAGCCGAGTCAGTGAACTGCCGTGTGCACGGCGAGCATTGGCTCAAAGCATCTCAAGGCTCAACAGCGGTCAACAAAATAGTGCGGGAGAATATTCTGAAGCCTCCCTCATGCACCATGCACGCAGTTGCGCCCTCTGAAACAACTACTCCCCTCGTTAGAGCACGGTTGTCTCGGTGATGGAGCTACGAGTTAACATTTCGAGTCAGAGTATCCAGAGCAACACCCTGCAGCCATGAGCAAGCTCCCCTTGCAGCCCTTGCACTTTAGCTTTAGCTTTCCACAACCTTTCTTTCATGTCCAGTGCCTTCAAGCGCTTGAAGGACGGGCACACTTCCGCATGGCAGTCGAAACATTCTGGGTGTCGCCAAGCTCGTGAATCTAACAGTCTGTCGGAATCTGGAATAGTGAGGCAGTCATCCAGTCATCGGTGTCAGGTGTCAGAAGACGGTGAGCGCATCACATGGCGCAACCCGCGCTTTTCTGTGGCTTGTGCTCAGATGATAGACCCTTGAGTCATGCGTCAAAGCACTCGTGGGGATGCACAGGTTTGGCTGTGCATACTGTATAATCGATCATGCATCAAGTTGGTCTTGGGCGGTGCTTCAGTTCAGACAAAGTGTATCAAAGGACTGGGAGCTCCGCTGGGGCGATCGTGTCTGGCGGGTCCATTGCTGTGTGTTGGTGGGTGGGTGCCAGCCCTCAGAATCAGAGATCAGAGTTAGGTTTGTGTCGTTCGACAGATTTCGAGATTTACTCCCACATTTGTTTCAGGGACCGTGAAGACATAACACCTGAGGAAGAGGCCAGCGCACTTCTTTGCTGGTGCTTCCCGCGAGGGTGTGCCAGAAGCCCAGCAATTGCGAGCTGTGCCGGACGTTCGTTTGGGAAGGGGGTTGGATATGGGTGGATACTTCATCTGTCTTGAGGAAGCCATTACTTGGAGATCACCTATCAGGGCTTCAAGAGTGTCGAGAGAAGACTACGGACCCAACCTGAGAACCTGGGACAATCCCGTTAATTGTGACACAATCTCAAAGAAGGCTTCAAACGCGAAGGAATCCCCAAAGCAATCTAAATGCTCCAGACTTTGAGCGTGGTTTCCTTGTTTGAAGGTTGCTTTGTGCCGACGAGTGCAGTGGAGGTACGAAGGAAGAGAGACGGACCTGGCAGTGCTGTGCCCGGAATCGTGCAAAGACCACGTCGTCCCCAAGTTGCAGTGGAGCTGTGATGGAGTGCAGCGGTGCTGCAAAGTTGCGTGAAGTACTCCTGTCTTTGACGAAAGGCGAAAGGTGTCCGCTTGCAGCCGCAATGCCGCACTTCAGCCAAGGAGCGCGCCCTCGACTTCATCTATGGCGAGGACCTTGGGGCGGTGAGCCCCGAGCATGTGATGCCACTGCTGCTGCTCGGACAAGATGAGTGACACGGTCCAATCTCGGGCATATCCGGAAACAAGCACGCCGTCACATGTCGTGCTCCGCTCTTCTTATAGCCAGCTATTGTCAGTTGCCTGATGATGTGCTTGGTAATCGGACAAAGATGCCGAGGAAGATTGCAGACACGTTGCAGTGTCCCACGCTGCAGAATACAGTTCTGGATGCTATGGTGCCCCCGACTGCAGTTTTGTCAATGAAGCATTTGGCAGATGTTGGCCGAAAGAGGGTACAGCTTTGTGTGCGCATGCGCATGTGCATGTGTGTGTGTGTGAGAGTGCGTGAGCGTGTGCGTGAGAGTATGCTCGTGCGCTTTTTTAACGTGTGTGTGGGGGGAACGAACCATGTTTCCAAAAGGCAGCTGGCATTTTGAGCTTTGACTGATCTTGAGACAGTGTGGGGTTGCTCTGTAACAGAGGCGGTGATAGGCGGCCCAGCCGTTGCAGGTCGCAGAAAGGTTGTGCAGACGCCTGTTTCCGTGCATGCATGTGACGGGTCTTAAGCGGTGATGCCGGGAACCATGCCGAAAAGGGTTTTGTCCAGTTGGAGTAGTAGGCGCGAACCTGGGTGGGGGCCACGTTGGTGCGCACATGGGCCTGAACTTGTGGGTGTTATGAACTGGCTCGCTCGAAGGTATTGGATGGAAAATCTAGAACCAGCAAAAACGCGACGATTGTGGATACCCTCCCAATCCTTAAAGCTTGTGAGGTTTGCAGCTAGGAGGAAGCAGCAACGAAGAAGCTGCGACCGAGAACGAGATTGTATGCAACGCGAGGGGCCTGGTTCATGGCAAGCCTGGAAGCGGGGAAGCAGCCCCCAAAGGCCCAAAACCACACAGTCTATCCGTCACTGGCTGTTGAAGCCATTCGCGGCTGATATCTCAACTTGCGACTAGATTAGATAGAGTAAACAGATTTTGACCACCGCCAAAATCAGGATTCCGCAAGTTCGGGTGTGTGTGTGTGTGTGTGTGTGCGTGTGTGTGCGTGTATGTTTGTGTTCTAGCGGATTGTGTGCTGCGTTGTGTTGTCTTGTCCACACGGCTGGTCTGATATCGCAGCAATCCAGGGTCTACCGAAACGGTTGCATGTCGTCACCGGCCAACATCTTCTGTCCTCAGATACGGATCTCAAAGCTTCTGCGTCAGCGTGTTTTGTGTAAGTCTGCCTGCCTGGCTACCGGGTTCCGGGACAGGACAATTGCCACTGATACCGCTGCTACAAGATGCATTGAACTGCGAAAAAGACGAGACTTGTTCGTCGTGCCTAGGTTCTGCACAAATCGGAGCAACTGCTGTGCGGCTGCTGAGGAGCATGCATCTGGGACTCCAGGCGCCATCGAAGTATGGATGCGAGATGCTTGCATCATGAATTTGAGCCTCGGTCAGAGGGAGAGACGGGCACCCGCGTTTTAAGCTTTTGGCATTGCGAGAGGCTCCAGAGATGAAATTGGGTTTTCTTCGGATTCCGTAGCTTCCAGCAAAGGAACCGCGTTCTGGAAGAGCTGGTGGCCTGGCGGCTGGAAGAATGAAGCGCCATGTAGCAATGTAGCATCCGCCATCGCCACGTTGCAATATCTGGATCAGTTTGTGGCTTGTGGCCTCCAAGGTTGCATGCCTGCCCAGAAGTCGTCTCATTAACTTGAACTTGGCTTCTTGACCTCACGAGTCAGGCGACACGTGACACTGTCCAGCAGATGTGGTCCTGCCATATCATGTAGCACGTCACTGGTAAGAACAACATTCCCCAAGGACATATTGGACAACGACAACGTCTTAGTAATGAGAGCCGTTGCCAAGCGCATGGTGGAGGAAGGGTACATATTCCGCTACAGAGCAGCCTGTCAGCACGGCAACGTATAAGTAAGCCCTGCTCCGCTGCTTTGGAGGACCGGATGGTGCAATGGGGATCCTTCGAAGGTCACGGTCAGCTGAATTCTGCCCCTTGGCTGAGGCAGAAGGGCGCCGGCCGGACGTTCTTGTCGCAGATTCCACAAAGACCGCTAGTGGCACTATGTGTCGACATCACTTGGTCAACATCAGACCAGTAGCCCAAACCGCCAAAACTAAGCACTTGCGTTGTCCCCTTCGTGATGATTATCGGGGGACACATGGTCAATGTTGTCCCACGCCCTGAGTAAGCCTACGAGGTCAATGTGGGGTCCAGATAAATTGACGTTCCGGTCAGTGTTGGTGGCGGCTGGGAGTCTTTGCGGCCAGAGCCTAGGACGGGAGTATCTCCCTGAGCCTGCCTACCGTGGCACAGGAGCTCTGGAGAGGTGTTAGTGACGGTTAGTTTGCAGATTCGCGGCGCCTTGGTCTCATTGACGTCGGGGTGTTTTCCGGTGAGCTTCAATGTGCTGGATGGCATGATCCTGTGCATGCGAAGAAAGAAGCTGTTGAGTGCACATCTTGCTCCCCCGGCGCAAGGAGCAGTCGCGCAGAGGCCGATGCCCAAAATGCGTGTTTTGGGCAGACACCCCAATCACCTTTCCGTAGCTTTGGCTCTCAAAGGGTCCCTGAGGCCCTCTTCGCCGTTCTCCGAAACTTCCAACCTCGTACCCAGTACTCAGCAGGTTCGAGCTCTTAGCTCTCAGCAAGTTTGAGGCCTCTGGTGCCGGGCCACAGGCCTGGGCGAAGCCTCGAGAGGCAGCGGTGGTGACGGCCAATGTCGTTTGAAGACACACAAGGAAGATCTCCTGGGAGGCCGACACATCTGGCGCATTCGGGTGGACTCCGTTCCCACGATCGGGGCAGCTCCGGACTTCACAGGGTTCTGGAAGTGTTCCGCTGGGATATTTTACGGGCCGGGTCTTTGCTATCACGTAAGTGCGTTCCATGTGCACTGAGGGATCGCGGTGTGCCAGACTGGGGGGATCTTAGACGGATGGATTGTGACGTGGTGACGGTGCGGCCTGGAGGACTGGTACATCGTGGCCGGAGTGATCTCGCGGGAGCAGACGGACCTTTCCACGAACAAGTCCAGGGCCCTCTGGGACACTGACCACCACTTCCTAGAAACGTATCAGGCGTGGGACGGGAGGGCAGACGAGACGGGGGTGCAGCGTTCGCAAGCTATAGTGGTGACCCTGTTACTGACTGTTTCGGTGAGGCGGGGTCCTTGCTCAACTTCCACCACCACCAAACAAAGGTCCTGGTGAAGCACGCAGAAGGCATGGTCAATTGGTGCATGATATTGGCAGTTGATGCTTGTAGTGATTGTAGCTTCCTCTGTGAATCAAGCAAGCCTAAGCGGCCGTCCAAAGGATGTGCTCGCTTCATTCGCCCGTGCAGGTGCAGCATGCTCGCACCAAGTTGACAATGTTCAGCGGTTGCATCCAGGAGATGTGATCTCCATCTGTCTCGAAGCTCGGTGTTGTAGCGAAGCCATGTGCAGCCCCTTGAGCCACCTGCTTTGCTGTCTGCGATATTTGCCAGCCGAGGATTTGAATGATGGCACTCGCAACGCTGACATCGTGTGGCGGATTAATGATACAGACTTCTAGCTGAAGCTGTAAGATTCCCAAGTGCCATCTCGACAGCGCTTCTGCTCTATCCGCGACCCAGGATGTTGCTTTCCCGGAGTCTGTCAAACTCAGTCCGACCGTCTACCGCCTTCTGGCAGCATCGAACAACCGCTGGGGCATTGAAAGCCGATAGCATGTCCCTTTCCACATCGACAGCTTTTTGCATTTGCTCGGATTTTGCAAGGTGTTGGCGTGGAGCTGTACAAGCATTTGTATCAAGCAGATAGCTTGAGAGTGACACTCGAGCAGCACACAGGCGCCAGTGCCGCAATTACCCGTGAAGTCGCATGAGACCGTGGGAGCTGTGCCCTTCGACCGTTGGCACGATTTGCACTCCCAGTAACACGGGTGGGGCCTGCATGCTGGTTGTTATGCCGAGTCTCTCCGGTGACCACGCAGTCAGTCAGTACATCTCACCCTTGTCAATGCTTTTTGACTGCAGGGTTGACATGGTCTCAGACCAGTAGTGCGGGCATTGGGACGCTGGTATTTGTCTTGCGACCTGCCGCGAGCCATCCAGCATGCCATGACTGTACTCCTTCTGCCACCAGCCTTTTCGACCTCATGCTCGCCCACGGCACGTACTGCGACTGCTTCGCAAATTTCCCGTAATATCTGCGGAGCAGCCTGCCTCTTTCGAATCGCGTTTGCTTCATCTATTGCTTGGTGCTTGATGGATGGCTGCGGTTCTTGTCAGGTGCCTAGCAATTCTCGAGGCGCTGCGCTCAGCATGTCGGGTGATGCATCACGGAGCTGCATGCGAAAACACGTTGTTAGTCTGCTAGTGAATAAATCGGCATACATCGACATTTTTTTGCGGCTTCCCGTAGCACAGCATAGCAGCCCTCTTGCCGATTCGGTGCAGGATCGGAAGTCCGGACTTCTGGATGACAAGTCTGGCAAGACTGAGCAACGCATGTCTTGGATGCCAAGCTGCACAGAATCTTCGAAATATCTGTACATATGTCCTGTGCGTGCAGTGGGGCACTTTCTGTCGGGCAAAGTTCCCGATCGCCTCGGACTTGAAGTAGTTCGGCTCCGTGTGGACCTGGAAAACTGTACCCTGAAGTGATAGATACCTGTTTTCACTACTCGAGTATGTCCCCACAAAGGAACCTCGTCTACGTTCGTTCAGAGGGAACGCTTCGGAGTATCTTGGGCCTGACCGGCCCTCGACCGACCATGGAATCGAAAATGTCGGCCCGCTCTTCATCAGATGGCACGGACCAAGTTCTGCATCTTGCCAGCAAAATCCGAAGGTCGCAAGCTGCGGAAGTCCGGCAAGCTTATGGAGGAGCATCTCCCGCGCTTTGATTTCGAGCGTTCAGAATTTCGCCACAAAAAGGGTGTAGTGTAGGTCTCCAGCCGAGCAGCTACACTGAATCTACATGTTGAACAACTGGACCAGCAGAATCTTCAGTCGTCCTTGTACTTCTAGGACCGGCAGATAATGGAGGATACAGCGGCGCAAGGCAAAAGACTCTGCGTACCCAGTCAGGACCGCCTCAAAGCCGCAGCAGAGGCCGAGAAGAAGAAGCTAGAAGAGGCGTGGAAGCCGCTAGTGCAGCGTCCAGACGTACCGTCTTAGAGCCCATGAGCATTAAGCACAGCTTATCGGACGACGGCCCTGCCCCCAGCTGGAAGGGGCGGTGGGAGCATGAATGAAGCACTTCATTATGCAGGGGAGCAGCCAGGTATCAGGACATTGAGAGTCAGAGCCGGTTAAGCTTGCCATCAGTTTAGACGACTTTTTCTGCGCAACAGCCGAAGTAACTTGACTTTTTAGCAGGAGGTTCGGTTCTCGGACGCCTGAAATCGTCTCCAAACCTTTCCGTCCGTGGCGCAGGCTACATCCATGTCTAAGTCTGAGCCATGCAAAGCCCTAAAGTTAGAATTCGGGCTGTTGCATGAAATAGCTTCCACGCACCGCTTGAAACGGCAATTCAGCTTCATTCCCGATTGGGAAGCTACTGTAGTCATTGTTAAAGCACTTCAAACCTTCGCTTGTCTTTGTGTTGGTCATCGTTATGCTGCATGCTTGCTCAATTTCGTTTGCCCGAGTTATGGTGTTTGCTTTTTGTTGAATTTTGGCTGTCCCACCTTGGCCCCGGAAGCGGCGAAGCACAATCTGGTTTCAACGCGATGCGCATGATGCACGCACTGCTCCGCAAATGTTGGCTTTTGGATGCTTTTGGAGGCGGGATGATGTTTGCAGTTTGTACTGGAGCGTCTTTGGGAATGTGCTGAAGGGATTCGACACGTGACTTTCACTGTTCTTGCTGTGGAATCAACCGAATCAAACCAGCTCAGGTGCCTTGGTGATCCTCCGGCATTTTTTGTAAGTTTGGTTTTCCCTCCCCTTGTCCTCCCCCGTCTTGCCTTGCTTCACTCCCTCTTCCCTTGCAGCGACATCAATGGTCGCGCTGGGCTACAGAATTTTTGCTGTCGTCGTTCGTTACTGAAAGCTGCCCCTCTAGCAAACTCGGCACAGTTGTCTGCAGCATTATGTGAGACTCCTGTCAAGATTCTCTTGAGCAGGGACGCCAGCTCCACATGTCCCAAACTCCGGTCGAATTCTCATGAGTCCAAACTGATACAGCCAATCCTTAGAGTCTTAGAGTTTGTAGTTCCCTTCTGCAAAGCCCACGAAACGCAGAGACCGAGTGGCTACGGGGCTATGACGGACTATGGGTAGGCAAGTTGTTTGCAGCTCGGCATGACTTTGGGGGTAGACAGGCCGAGCTGGCTGGCCGAAACAGCAGAACTCCCTAAGCTCATCCTGTGCGCAGGCAGCTCGGAGGCGGCAGGACGCTCTACGTGAGGCGGAGGCGATCGGATACGCATGGTTGAAGGCAAACAGGGCCTCTGAGGCTTTGAAGGGGACCCAGAGCCTTCGGATCAAGAAAAGCTGGCACAAGAGTTGTTGTGGCAGGTGGAGGAGAGGATGGGGATTGTGTATTGGCTAACTTTCGGTTCAGGATTTGTCAAAGCGTTTGCTTGGTGAAAGACTGCTGGCAGCCACCTGCCGCGATGACCGACGTTCTGGCCACAACGATGCTGCTCTCCAGGAACGCAAGCGCCAGCAGGAGGTCCTCAAAGCCCAGGTGGCATGCCCTGCAGTGCTGCTACTCTCCTCAACGACTATGTGTACGTTTACCCACGACGACTGCTATCGCGTTAGGATTGGCACCATTAATTTGCAGTTTTAGTAGCGGCGGTAGTAGCGCACCAACAACAGCCGTAGTAGCAGCAGCAGCAGCAGCAAAACTAACAACATTAATTAGTACTAGTCACTAGTAGATGTATCAGTAGCTGTGGCAGTAGCACTAGAGCAGTAGCAGTAGTAGTAATCCGATTAGTACTAGCGGCAGCGGTAGTCGTAGTGGTAGTAGTAGTAGTAGTACTACCCTGGATGTCTTATTCAAACAGCGCTCTGTTCAGGGTCAGAAGTGGTACCTGCCAGATTTAGGGTACTCTTATTGGAGACGCATCGTGCGCCTCTGACGCCGTCCAGGGCTAAACATGGACGAAGAGCCCGGGGCGGCAATAAACCGCTTGTTAGCAGACCCTTTGGGCCAATGTAGCGTGCCACCCCGTGCAGCAAACACTGCACAACTTCGGGCGAATTTCGAAACTCTTCCCGACGTGCTGTGCTGCACAACCCTCCTGAGAACATAAAAAACTGAATATCAAAATCCTTTCTTATTTCCTTGGTTTTTGGCCGGACGAAAAACGCAGGAAACAAGAAATCCAGCGCCCTGGATTTCTTTTTTCCCGGGTTTTGGGTGGGACCAAAACGCAGGAAACCCCTGGATTTCTTATTTCCTGGGTTTTCGGCCGGCCAAAAACCAACGAAACAAAACATCCAGCCCCTGGAGTTCTTATTTCCCCTGTTTTGGGGCAAAATATAAAATCTTCAACCCTCCACCCATTGCCTACGGGCGAATTCCGAAACTCTCGCCGATTTGCTGCAGGAATCCACAACCCGTCCATTGGGGTTTCCGCTAAATTTTACGGCTCTAAGTGCTTACTCATTCCTGTCCCCTTTAACCCCATGCTTTAAATCCCGAAGCCTCCAGCCCAAATTTCACGGTGCTGTAATTAATGTGTTTAGGGTCCTGCGCTTCTGTTCTTGGGGGCAGCATTTAAGAAATTGGATAAGAAATTGGGTTTCGGGGGTAGGCGACCTTGAATTTCTTATTGCCTTTTGCTTGGTTGTGGCAGATTCTGGTACATGTTCGCCCAAGTCCAGGGGCTGGACTTCTTATTCACTGCTTTCCTATTCAGTGCTGGCGCTGTAGTAGTAGTAGTAGTAGTAGTAGTAGTAGTACTAGTAGTACTAGTAGTACTAGTAGTACTAGTAGTACTAGTAGTACTAGTAGTACTAGTAGTACTAGTAGTACTAGTAGTACTAGTAGTACTAGTAGTACTAGTACTACCCTATCCCCCAGTGGTGCGACGCCGGTCGCAGAGTTCGTGGATGTACAACATGTTTCCATCAGAGCTGTCGCGGAATGCGCTAGACCATGGACGTCATTAGTTTTTGGACATGGATGCTCTCCAAACCAAAATGCGCTAGACCATGGACGTCATTACATATTGGACATGGATGCTCTCCAAACCTCAATGCGCTAGACCATGGACGTCACTAGGTTTTGGACATGGATGCTCTGTTTTCCAACGATTTGGATGAACATCATGATCAAAATTAGGCCATAAAAACCATCATTCTGATCGCTAGGTTTTGGGCAGGAAAATCGAGACTTCAAAAAACAACAAAAAATCATGAAATTCGCACAGACAAGTGCTGTAAATACCAGCATTTTGAGGTGCGAGATTGATGAACAATGTTAGAAAACATGATAAAAATACACACGAAACCAGGAACAGTTGCCACTTTCGATAACTGCGGTAAAAAAGTGCTGTAACACACAGCATTTCCGGCCACAACAAGTCCCAAAAATAAGAGGTTTGGGCGTCGCACCGGGGGGGGGGGGGGCGATGCTACCAGTACTAGAACTAGAACTAGAACTAGTACTAGTACCAGTACTAGTACTAGTACCAGTACTAGCACTAGTACTAGTACTAGTACTAGTACTACCAGTAGTAGCAGCAGTGGTAGTAGCAGCAGCAAAGCAAAAGCAGAAGTGGCAGTGGCAGTAGGACCGGCAGCACCAGCAGCCGCAGGAGCAGTGGCAGCAGCAGCAGCAGCAGTAGCAGTAGCGGTAGCGGTAGCGGTGGGAATGGTAGTGGTAGTGGTAGTAATCGTCGTCGTAGTCGTAGCAGCAGTAACAGTAACAGTAGCAGCAGCAGCGGCGGCGGCAGCAAGTAGTAGTACGTAGTGCCATGTAACAATGTAGTATAGGTAGTACTGAGCAGTACTAATTAGATCAAAGTCACGTAGCACCAGGTGGTAGATAGTAGTAGGTAGTACTTGTTTAAATCGTAGCAGATAGTAGCGGGTAGCAGTAGATAGCAACAGATGGCACCCCATCACCGCCACCAGCAGCAGCAGCACCACCACCAGCACCACCACCACCAGCACCACCAGCACCACCAGCACCACCAGCACCACCACCAGCAGCACCAGCAGAACCAGCAGCACCACCAGCAGCACCACCAGCAGCACCACTAGCACCACCACCAGCACCACCACCAGCACCACCACCAGCAACACCACCAGAAACGCCACCAGCACCGCCACCAGCACCACCACCAGCACCACCAGCACCACAACCAGCACCACCACCAGCACCACCACCAGCACCACCAGCACCACCAGCACCACCAGCACCACCACCAGCACCAGCAGCACCAGCGGCACCACCACCACCACCACGACGAAGACGACGATGACTACTCCTACTCCTATACTCCTACTACTCCTCCCATTGCTCCTTCTCCACTCCATAATGCTCACCTTGCTCCTACTACGACGACGACTACTACTGCGACTACTTTTGTGTTACTGCTAGTCCTACCGCTGTTACCACTACCACTCCCCACTCCTCTCTCCTTCCTCCTTCCCTTCACTTCTCACACTCCAGCCACCCCTCCCACTCTTCCTCCTAAGGGCCACTACTGCTGCTGCTGCTGCTGCTGCTGCCAGTAGTTCATACATTCTTGCCAGGAAGCAATCCGTGACTTCGAGTTTCGCTGGAAGACGTACCATGCCACAAAAATACAGGCAAGGCGAACAACTGCAGTCACAAAAAGCAAGTTCATGGAAGCAGTCAGATGTTAAACGGCTTCTGCCACCTCGCTCTGTGGGATCCCGCATGCCAGTCCATGGTACGTGCTCGCAACGATCGCCGACGAGCTGCCGCAGAGAAGGCCAAAAAGGAGGCGACACCTTCTGACAGTTTTGAGGCTGATGGGAACGAACATTTTTCGTCCGCAGGCAGAGGCCAGCGAGCGGAGAGCAGCCGCGCGAAGGGAGGAAGAGCGCAGGAGGCCATGTCATTCGGGACTTTATATGCAATCAACCGCGAGATTGCGAACTGCCAGGCGCTTGGAGGAAGAGAAGCGAGCGCAGGAAGCAGCGGCTCGGTGGAGACAGATAGTCCTCTTGTGAGTTCCTGCAGTCCGATTAAGGCATGTTGAACAAAGCTTACACAGCTACCAAGTGTGTGTGTGTGTGTGTGTGTGTGTGTGTGTGTGTCCGGGTTTCATTTGTGCACTGGTTGGTTAGTTGCTTTCCACCATTCCAGTGCTGCTCAAATTCGACCTCAGCTCCCATAGTTCCCAAAACCATCGCTGGTTGCAACTGTCGCAGATCTCAAGTAAACTGATGCAGACATGACTTGACATGACAAAATGTCACGCCCGGCATTTGCTCAGCTCCGCGCGCAGCAGATGGGTGTCGGTGCCAGGAGCTCGGAAGGAGCCTGAGAGCATCTGAGAGTACTGGCAGTTACTGGCACTGTTATTGCCAGTGACCACTGATCGGTTTCAAGCTTCTGGCCGGCAGGAATCTCATTGCCTTTGCTTTGACATGTAGTTTCCGTCACGAGATGCTACGGAACTGGGCTTCGTAGAGATGCCTCAGTCGGCAGGCCATGCGAAAGCTTTTGGCGGATATGGAAAACCGTCGACTTGGCCAGTATGTGATCAAGCTTCCGCCTCAGTGCAGCTGGATTCGCTCGCTGTCGAAGATCAGGCGGCCAGGCTTCTTGCAACGAAAGGCTGCAGGCACGGTGGCGCGGGCGCATGGCTCGCAAGCGCTACGCGGAAGTGAAGGAGCCCGGGGCCTACTGTTGCCTAGCCGTCGGTGATGGATGATGTAGTTATTATAAGATTGTACCGAGGATTTTGCGGCGTGAGAAGGCCAAGGCCCGGGATCTCAAGCGTGTCAGGGCCTCAAGGGCCTCCGGGATCTTCGCCAAGACAAGCTGTCATATGCTTTGCCGACTCGCCCTAAGGCACGGCACCTGGCCGAGTTCAGGCACTTTGGCTCCCGCTCCGTGCTCTCAGAGTGAGAGCACATGAGAGCCCTGACAGGGAGCGGAAGCGTTTAGAGGAGCTTCGGCGCAAGGAAAGGCGGCAGCACGAGGCATCGCGGACGATCGCGGCTTGTGAATCCAGGAAGAGTGGTCTTCTTGATCGGCTGTGCGAGGTCTCAAAGTTCTCGAAGCGCCTACACGATGTGGAATTCATACAGAAGACCCGAGCTGCCAGGCGGATTCAGGCCAGCTTGCAAAGCCCATGCAAGCCCAGGGCACACGGTACCGGATTTGTGCTGATCGGATCGGATCAGTTAACAGGCCTGTGCTATGTATGCTCAGGCTAGTCATGTAAGTCATTGCTGGTTTCAGCGAGTTATCAAGAATCGGGGATGGCTTTAGGCGCTGTGCAAGCAAGACGCAAGAAGTCCTCGTGAAGACTGCAGAAACCCGTGAAGGGTGCCTACCGCGTCCGACGTGCAAAGCTACAGCTGCGGAACCTCAAGCATGAGCGCGACGAAAAGGACTGGTCAGAGCTCATCCTTGCATTGAACGAGATTGCTGCGGCTCCAAGTACAGGAGTACTCTCAACGTGCAGCGGTCAAGCTCAAAATCGAGCGTGAGCGGCAAGAGAAACTCAAAGAGCAGAAGGCCACGATGGGAGTCAGGTGTCACCGCATGTCACCTTTCAGAAGGATAATCCACCCTTGCAGGCAAAGGAAGCCGCCGCGAAGGCGAAGCTTCAACGCGAGGCCACGGGCCACCGGCTTGTGGCATCTTGGCAGCTTGCGTGACAATCCGGGCCGCCAGGTGCAGGGCTACCGGCACAAGGTCGACGCCATGGAGTTCCGCGCGCAGGCGCAGAGCCCGGCAGAGCCCGCAGAGCCTGGAAGCGCATCGCTGCGCGCTTCCAGGAGCAGGCGGCGGTGCGCATCCAGGCCATCATGAAGGGCTCAGTGCAGCGGCTCAGGCTCGGATCTCCCATCGGTCGAATGTTCCTTTTGGGCATTCTGGCACTCGCTTTTCAACGTTCGCCAGGTTTGCGACGGCCAGGAAGCTTGCAAAGGAGAAATACGACATGGAACAGTCCAAGCGCCTCGGCAGAATTTCTGACCTTGCGTGGCACATGGCACTATGCACGAGGGCAAAGCTGGACAAGAAGGTGGCAGAGGAGTTGAGGACGCTTGAAAGCTGATTTATGGAGGGTTTCGCGGGCAGCAGATGAATGTGTCAGGGCTTAGAGGCTTAGAGGCCTAGGCGTGGCACGCAGGAAGCTGGAAGAGCAGCAAAAGGCCAACCAGCTGAAGCTGGCAGCTTGGATGCAGACAGAAGCCGGGAGCCTGCGATCCAGGGCCAGTTCGGACGGCACTCTTGACAGACAGTTCCACTCACTCCCCCTAGTGACACACTTGCAGCCCATGCTTGAGAATTCCTGGCTTTGGGTGTAAAGAAGTTGAACCAGTTAGGTGGATTTCGAGTGTGCAGGTTTACCACTGTTTAACCGCAAAGTTGAGGACTTCGGGTTTGAGAGAATCTGTGCAAGAGATGCTCTCCGGCCTGCCTCGAGGCCAGCAACCCGCCCCCTGGCTCGGGTTTGGGTTATTTTGGGTTGAGTTGTCCCCTCCGCCCGTCCAAACTCGAGGAGCCCCCCGTCTGCAGATGTGGGTTTTCTGCAGATGTGGGTTTGGGTTTAGGAAATCTCTGAGGCCCTAAAACCAATTCAGAGTGTTTTGCATTGGTTCCCTGCTCCCGACTTCGGTCTGTCTCCCTGCCCCTCTTCCCTCTGGGTGTGGGTGGGGTTGTTCAATCCTGCCTGAGAGTGTGGTTTGTTTGAGTCACGGCTGAGACGACGGTCACAAAATCCACAAGACGGCGACGGTCACGCCGGATCGCGACAGTACCAATATCACGCTCCACGAAACGACATGTTCGAGACGGTTGCCAGCATCATCGTCTTGATCATCTTCATCATCATCATCAGTAACCATCATCTTCATCCTCATCCGCGCTATGACATACCATCACTAGCCACGTCTTGATAGTTTCAGGTTCTGGCGTTCCCGCTCACGCGAACGGTCACAGACGGTTTGTTTGCTCGAATGGCCAGTGTCAATTGGCGCCTGCAGCTTGCAGGTATTGCTTAGGATGCAGTGCTTTTAATCGGTTCCTTTGAAGCGTCCATTTTTGGCAGACCCTAGACTGCATCTGTCACTTAGGAGCAGGAACAGCGCAAGATGGAGGAAAAGTACAGGACCGGAACTGTTGCTTCGGCCAATGGCAGATGCTGCATTGATCCTGGAGAGTGAATTGGGCCCCGTGCAGGATTGAGCGCGAGAAGGCAGAGCAGAAAAAGGAGGAGGAAAAGGCAAAGCTGGAGAAGAAATTAGAAAAGGCACCACCGGATGGCCCGAGAGCCCTGTCAAGAGTGGCTGCCACGGGATGCATTTGTCAGTGGTCAGTTGAGCACCAGAACCTGCGCGAGCGCGATGTGACGCCAGTGCCCGGGAGGAAACAGAGCGCATTGAAAAAGAACGTGTGAAGCGCCTTTGCTTCATCGATCCAGTATGGCCAGTGCTGACAGATCTGGCATAGAACGGCTACAGATCGTGATGGAAAGATTTCCGGTGTATGCGACTGAGGATGGAGGAGGCAATGCAGAGGGAACGCGAGAAGCTGGAACAGGCCGTCTCCTGTTTGTGCAGGTGTTCCATTGCATGGGGCGGTTCAATGTTCCAGCTCTTACTGGAGCCTTCTGGATCACGAAGCTACGCACCGAGTCGTAGCGAGAGACATGTCGATGCGCTTGCTTCCCCAGTCCACAAGGAGGTACTTTCTCGAGGCCAAACATCGAGACCATTTTTCATGACACACTGCAAAAGATGCAGCTACATGGCACAACTCGAGCACACGTCAGCCGAACCCAGCCGATATATGGTTCTTGCATATGCGTGTATGTATGTGGTCTGTGTGCATATATGCATGCATGTGTGTCTGTGTGTCTGTCTGTCAGATTCCGCCGGTCCCTCAGTACGTGTGTCCGGTTTGTTTGTGTCCGTCTGCGTGTGTGCGCGCCTGTATCAATGCATGCTTGGATGTATCCATGTGGTCTGCGTATGTCTGCGTGTGTGCAGTGTGTAAGTGTGTGTGTGTGTGTGTGCGTGCGTGTGTGCGAGTGCATTTGTGCATGTGGGCATATCTACACATGTATGTTTGTATGATTAAGTATGTATGTATGTATGCATAATGCATACCTGTGTGTCTTTATGGCTGCAAGCCTGCCGCGATGTATGTACGTATGCAAGCATGCATGTACGAACTGCCGCGATGTATGTACGTATGCACGCATTCATGTACGAATGTGGGCGTACATACACTCGTCCTTTGTGCGTGTACGTGTGGATGGATGGATGGAGGGAGGGAGAGAGGGATATGTGGATGAATGGATGTGTGCCTGCCTCCAAGTTGCAGTTTAATCTGGTGGGGGACGATGGTGGGACAGGGTCAATACCCTCAAACCCCAAAAGGGCTGGGAGGTGGCAGCCTTGAGCCTAGCGGACTCTCTGAACGCGTCTTAACTTCTGGCGACAGGTGGCCAAATGCACACCGTAGTGCTGGCGCCATCAAAGTTTACTATGCGGGCGATGCTTGATTCATCAGTGCCAACACTCAAGCTGTCAATAACTTACTACACGAAGTAGAAGCAGTGTCTGCACAATTCGGGTTACGCCTCAATATGAATTGCTGTGAACGGTCAGTCAAATTTGCTGATGGTACCAGGTTGAAAAGAGTACGTAAACGAAGCCACATATCATGGACATTCATGGACGCCAAATCACACAAGCCATAGATATAAGACATGAACCCAGCCACAGAATGCATGACACATTAAAAGTTTGTTATCAGCTAACAGCTTTTGGAAGGCTGTGCAGCGTCCAGCGCACCGGAAATTACATGTTTATAATGCCATCCTCAGAAACAAACTTCTATATGACCTGGAACCTGTTCATCCAACGCAATCGATGCAGAAGAACATAAATGCGTTTCAATTGAGAGGAACTAGAAGGATGCTAGGGATAGACAGTGCTTATGTGAACCGAGCAAAGACGCATGACTTTGTATCATGGAAAGCGAATGAGGACATGAGGAAATGCAAACCCAGCAACGAAATCACACTGTTTTCGAAGTTGGTTCGAGAGAAGCGTATCAAACTAGCTGGCCATATTAAGAACCAGTGAGGAGGACCCCCTAAGGCAAGTCCGCCATAAACCCAAACTCCGCGAACATGTTCGAGATTGGCGAACATCGGAGGACCGAGACAGAACTGATTAGTCTACACAAACAATTGGGTTTCTTCAGGTGAGCAAAGCCAACGAATTTACGAGGATGCCAGAACTCGCCAATGTTAAGTCGCTCCTCGTGCCCACGGTCTCACCTGTATTGCTGCCTGAGTAGGGTAGGGACTTTGGCCCGGAGAAAAAACATGGCATTAACATGAAGCACCTTGACCAGTGTACTTGCTGAATGAAACGGCAAACTCTGTGAAGGAGCGAGAGGCACTGATGGAGCAGATGGACGGTGCTTTGCCGACTTCATCAGGCGGGGCCACAATCTTCATCCCGGGCAGTCCTCATGGGTAGTTCAGGCGTTGCTGATTTGATGGAATCTCATGAGCATGCCGCTTGCAAATGCGCACTCGGCAAGAAAGCAGTAACAAGGTTCAAGGCTGAAGAATCTTTTGCCCTTGCTCTCACGTCAGCCCCAGAAACACTCTCAAGCATGATCCACAACGCCAAGGGAGCAGAGGCCCCACCATGCCCTACAAGTCCGTGGTGAAGGCGTCTATGGAGCCCGGTGCCAAACGCCTGGTAGCCAACGCAGAGCAGAGAGGGGTATCTCCTTGCCAAAGCAGTGAGGATGCGGAAGGAGGAGCACATTCTAGCAAAGGAGAGACAGCTCGCCAAGGGCCCAGCATTCACCGCGTGGTCAAAAGGTTTCTCGATGCCGATGCGGGTTCGAGCATTCCTCCTAGTCGCATCAGACAGCCGACCGTTCAGGTGACATTTGTCCCATTGCAGGTTGCATTCGGTTGCATGTGTCGCATTTGGTGCAGGAGGCGACCTTGAAGAAGTTGGCCGAAACCCAGGCTTCATGCTCCTGCAGTGGCAGCGAGAGTGGCATCTGAGGGCTTCTGCCGAGCCCTTGCCTGGAGTCGGGATCGGGGCCTTGCAGGAAGCCGCCGCCGTCGCCGCTGCCGTCGCTGCTCCGGCTCCTGGGGCCTTGCTGGAGGCCGAGAGCTCCAGTGTCCGCCGGTGTCCTTTCGAGTGCCGTGCAGTCGATAGGAGGCACGGCCTCCAAGCGTGGCGGCCTGTGTGGCCGCACACGCCAACAGTGCTCTGAATCCTGGTGCCGTGGAGGCCCCTGGTATAGCGTACGGTCTATAGGTGACGTAACATCACTTAGCTAGGTCTTCAGTATGCCGCAGCTGTCCTTGTCAACGTTTTTTGCTGGGTCTGAACAGCGTCTGAGAACTGGACCTTTATTGTACTTGTATGGTAAACGAATAGTTGCAGGAATGTGCTGCCCTTTCACCGGACCAGAATCAGGCGACTTGTGAGGTGCCGAAGGGCCCACTTAGACAGCATAGCCGACTCCTCCAAAACTTGTCAGTCTAGTCAAGCCAAAGCCAAAAGTGGGAGCAAGCCGGGCAGCCAAATGCCAGGCTGCCGTGGCGTCCTTCACTGCCAAACCTCCAGCGGAGGAGGACTCAGCTGCTGCAGCAGTCGGATGGGAGCTTCGACATGTTTCGACTTTGCTCAGAGTGATATCGGATAAATACTTGTGGTTCTTCTCGCAGTTCAGCCAAGTCCAGCCATTTACCCGCTCCTGTGGACAGTTGCGCCGGCATACGGCTCCACCGACGGTTTTCCAGGCGACCAGGGTTGCGAGGTCGTTCAGAGCGGTGACACTCTTGTTTGTCCCCATCATTTGTCCTCAGCGTCTTGTAGGCTTTGCAGAATCTTGCAAGGCTGCAGATCAATCACCGGGCCGGCCGCCCTCAGGGCTGTCCCACGAGCCTCGTCCGGAATTGCGACTCAACATCAAGCTGCAGGAACTTGGGCAGTGGATGTGTCTGGTCATCACCGCGCTATTTGCGAGGCTGCTGCTGCTTCGATGGTCCGACCACAGGCGCGGGGGATCGCGAGGGTCACTGGAATGTTAGTTACTAGTCAGCATTCAGCAGTGATTCAGCAGTATGCGTGGTCCATGGCCACTCTTTTGCGATGCATGATAACGCACCGCCTGCCGCCGTGGGCTTCCTTGCTCCTCTCAGGGCATTCAGGGCGTAGCACCAGGCCTCGATTCTTCTTCCACGTGCGCACTGAAGGAGACAGAGGCCATGTCTGGGCAATGCGACTCCCCGCTTCACTGGTCATTTGAGGATGCTGTGTCAACGCTGGATTGCACCCCCGACTCTCAGATCGTGCCGGATCTGCAGTTCATACCCCCCACTGCAGTAAGCTTGCGCAAGCTCGGCCCGGACAGTGGCCAGCAGCGACGCCTTGCAGTGCATGCGCGTGTGTCGGACTGGAAGATCAGGCGTGAGGATTTGGAGATACGGAACGAGCTCAGCCGCACTTTGCACAGCACCCTGTACTTAGCTGACTGGAAGGGAACGGCAGTTGTGGTCAAGTGCGCCGGACTTCATGGCGCAGGAATGTCGGCCCAGATGCGGAAGTCGGAATCTCAAGCAGAGCAGCTTGAGACAGAGGATGCCTCGGACAGCATGGTGCAGGAGCTTGCGGCCGCTTTGTGATTTTGTGATTCCCCGTGTTGATCTCGACGTTTTCTCAGATTCACGACGGCACGCCATGTTTCATCAACACTGCCAGGAGATCCTGCAGGAGATCGAGACAATGTCCCAGCTGCGCCATCCGGATCTGGTCATGTTCCTGGGAGCTTGCCTAGAGAAGCCCCACCCCGTGATGTGCATCACGGAGTTCCTCCCTTGCGGAGACCTTGAACGCTTCTTCCTCATGCAGCGAAAGAAACGCGATGGCGCACTCTGGCGCCCCTGCCTCCGGGACGTACTGGACTGGTGTTTAGCTATAGCCAGGGCGCTGAACTTCTTGCACAATCGTGATGTGCCGGTGATTCATCGAGACCTGAAGCCTTTGAACCTCTTTTTGACGAGCAGCATGCAGCTGAAACTTGGGGATTTGGGAAGCAGTAGGCGATCTGCGAGAGAAAAGGCTGACACATTCAAGATGACAGGAGGTTTGGGTACCTGGCGCTATATGGCCCCAGAAATGGCACGGCATGAGAACTACAATGAAAAGGTCGACATCTACGCTTTCGGGCTCGTCATGTACTTCATGAGCTCGGGGCGGATACCTTTCCACCAGCGTGGCGCGGATCCGAAGGTGCCAGCCTGAGTGTGGGCACTTCCCGACAAAGTGGGGCATCAGCATGAGGGACACAACGAAGGTAGGAAGCGACTGCACCTGCTCACCCTTTCTCCGTCGCATGATCAGCCCGATTCACATAGAGCAACATGGTTTCATAGAAAACTGAGAATGAGAAGCCGATCAAATCCTAAACCCAAAGCCACAAGCTAACCTCGACAAGCTGCCCACGCATAGAGCACCAGCTGTTGAGTGCCGCGATTCGGGTTGGCTCCTTTTTGAAACCCTTGGCCCAAGCATGCTCATGTCTATGCAATGTGTCGCTTCGTGTGGAGTTTGAACCTAGCGAGTGCCCGTGCGGTGTGAACTGGAAAGCTTCGGTGCAGTGCAGTATGTGCAGTGAGGTGATTTTGGATGACTATGTGAGAGGCAAGAGTCCCCGCCCGACGCCCTCCGACTGCTATGCGCAAATGCGGCCAATGATGGTTGCAGCATGGCAGGAGGATTTCCGACTGCGGCCCACAGCACAGGAGCTGCACGAAAGTTTGGGGCTTGTACATTGTCACGGAAGAAGATGTAGTAGTATGGCGTCACGGATGTAATGCTGTAGTTAATCGTATCGCCATTGTCAGGAGGCAGGAGGCGAGCAGGCAAACTAATGTTGCACGTGCCCTGTTGAGGACATACTCGTCACCCTCAACTCCGGCATTCCATCCAAAAAGGCATCGTGTGGCTGTGCCCAGATGTGAGGATAGCTTGGATGGAAGGTGGCCTGGGGTTCTTACAGCGAATCTACGAGATGCGCTCTGTGGAGCCGACATTTGCGTGAATCGGCTCGTCGCCTCCGTTTCGGGCGCTGTGCACGATAAATGCAAAGACTCAGTCAAGGAGTTATCAAGTGTATTAATATAATTATGTCTTGCAGCTACAATCGTGGCTCGCTTTTTCCCCCAGCGGCAGCGGCCGGTACTTGCCCTGCTGGACAGCTGGTTTAGAAGGGGCCCTTCTCAAGCACGGTTTGAAAGGGGCTGGAGCCGCCGGCAGACAAGATGGCTCCACCATGCTCCACGCCAACGCTTATATAGGTCCTAATGCTCACGTGTAACATCGGGTCGGTGGAGGGGCTGCTGAACCTGTACTGGTCCCAGCCCCCTGTCCATCTCTGCCCTGCGCTCCAATCTGCTTCCAAAGAAGCGCATAGAACAGCGGGATGCCGAGACTAGCTTTGGCTCTCCATAATGTGAGGAACCAGCATAGATTTGCTGCCTGGTACCTCGCACGACCTGTGTAGAGTGTAGAGCTGGATATGCCGAGTGAAGTCTCAGGTCTGAACAGTTCCTCTTAACATTTCAACACGACGCAGCTGTATGCTGTGGACCAGTTGCGGACCCCACAGCTTGCTGACACGTATGCCAGACACGAAACGAACATGTTCGCATGTCGTGGCAGGCAGCTCCAGAGCGAACAGCCCTAGTTGTGAGACCCACCCCTTCTGTGTCGTCAACGAGAGGACCTGGCAGCCGTGAGGTCACACCAGGCCTTCCGCTTTAGCTCTCGTAGGGCTTGCGGATTGCACCTTGCCTTGCCTCCACAGCTCACGAGTCTGGGAGTGAAGACAAATTGTCAAATCTTGTTGACTTGGTTTATGAGGGCTAGCCGCAAGCCACGGTTATGCTTGTGACAGTTGTGCAGCATTTTGGAACCCTGTCAGTCTCCACTGGCACCTGCTCTAGCTGCAGCCATTCCGGAGGCACGCTGTGCTGGCAAGTGCTGCGAGTCTACTGCAGACATCTGCAAGCCAAGGCGTAACGCTCTGCTCCAAACGCCTAATTGGCCAGGCCTCCTTCGCCCCCTCGAAGGCCATGGGCGGCAACACCTTCAATTTTCGGAGAGAGTCACTGGTTCGGTGAACGTGGGCGCAGATATTTCTGATTTTGCTTGTTTGCGAAAAGGTCGAAAGGCCCAGTTCAATGACGAAGTTTCTCAAGTTTGTTGAGGGCTGCATTCGGGATGACTCCAGAGTATGTGGAAGGAAGAGCAGCAAGAGAGATGTTTTGACGAAGCCGTCTGACAAGGCTGGATATGGCGGGGTTTCCCCGTCGCGGGGAGGAGTTACAGCCAGCAGTGGGCCAAGTCCATGCCTGCGGCCTACATTGTCAAGCACAGGATGACAAAACCTGCAGGCCAGTTTCCGGCCGCAGCCGCGCCCTCCGTGCCCACTTTGCCAGCAGCAGCGCTGCAGCAGCCGCCTGAGGCTCCGGAAGGGAAGGGGGGCATTCATTTCTCCTTACTCCTCTTATTGCTGGTAGTGCCATGAAATGTGTCCTGGTGTTGTTTGCGTGTCATGTCTGCAGGCCATTCACACCATGAGCATGAGACAGCGGATTGCCGGTACCGGAATACCCTCATACACCCTTCCTTTATTATTCTCTCCACTCTTCCCACAGTGTGAAATTCTGCGCCAGTCTCGGGAATGGTCCCCCCTCCTCCGCCTCCAAGAATCGTGCACGTTGGCATAAATGAGAAAGCTAAGCACATACTGGCACTTTGGGAGAATCGACAATGAATACGCTAAACATGCAGATAAAAGAGAGCATCTTAACACTGGCAAACAGATAAGTTCAAGACCCAAAGAATGCCCCAGGCACACAAAAAGAGCACCCTAACAACCGCAACATGAAGACGTGTACAAAAGCCCAAGTCATGGAGTACATCTCTTTGGTTGACAAGCTGTGGGTACAAACTGCTTAATGATTGCCTATTGCTTCCTGAGCAACATTTGGGAAGCTCAAAAGCTAAGCCGTCTGCGAAGTTTGCAGAAGTGCTGGCGAGCATCCTGATCTAAGCTGCGTTGAGACACTCTGAAGAAAGTCGTCCTTTTCGGGGCCTCCTCTCCTCCTTATTTCTACGAAAGTGCCTTGCCAGTCACTAGGGCCCAAGGCTCACCCTGAGAAGCGGAGTGTTGGTCTCGAAGAATGCAAGCGAGCAGTGCCCACTGGGCCTGAGCCTAGACTCGTCAGACGGCCTCCGAACAGATGCCTACGTGGAATGCAGCATGCCAGGTGGGAGACAGCTTCCGCGTGCGCGGAGAAATACGTGACCTAGACTGCTTGGACAAATCAAATCACTTGAAACTTCGTCCCCCCCCGCAGGGCGACAGAAGACGATGCAACATCGACAGATTGGAAAGTTTGATGCAACAACAACTAGGAACTAGGAGAGACAAGACGGTGGCCACCTTGCCAAAGCAAATCACACACAAATTGCTGAAGCATCTTCGCAGTACTGTCTCCAGGTGTGTTACATTGACAACTCGAGAATGCTAGTTACAGCACTATTCTACGAACAATATTTCGGTCTGTGGAGTTAGCTAGTTTTCATTGTGGTTGCGCTTGCGCCAGGTGCTCTTTGATCAGCTTGATCGAAACCGAGACGGTGTCCTTTCGCGAGAGGAGTTTCTCCACATCCAGGAGACTTGCGAGCTGCTACGTCTCATGCCAAACCTGTTCCGTGCATGGCAGTGGTTGGTGAAGTAGCAGGCTGAGCGTTCAGAATGCTGATACTTTCCATGCTGGCGAGCGCCGATTCAGGAGTTGCGGTCTCCGAGGGATCAGCGGGCAGAGGAAGCCATGCTTTGGCAGTCACCCTCGGAGGCAGAGCAGAGTTCCTTGGAACGCTTGTGAAATTGCTGTCGCTGGGAAGTGCAGGTCGCGAGCCCAACGGGCCTCTTCACCTTCGAGGACCCTCATGCAAAAGCATCCGCTCCCGGCACTGTGCGATACCCAGACTTCGGCTGATTTGATGGAGATCTGTTGGATATCCGGGATAGAGTACAGAGCTGGGAGGGCCAATAGCCGGGAGCCCGTGACAGCCCGAGTCTCTAAACGTTGAGCCAGGACTTCCATAGCCGTCTGAACTCGGGCGCGGACCCCATCCATGGCCCAGAAGGCATTGCGCTCCCTGCAGTCGGAACTGTGTTGCAAAGTTGGCTGAGGCTTGCTGACAGAAGAGGCCCTGGTCATGGAGATCGATCGAAGGCCCTTTCGGCTGTGCTTGTTGACGAGTTTCGCGCCGGCAGCGCCTGTTCGCCCAACTCCATTTTGCCAGTGCGCCATAGTGCGCTAAAATGCTTGTCTTTGCATGCTCACGGTAGTTGTGAGGCAGCTGGAACTTCAGGGTCTGCATCAGCAACTGCTGCGTCCCAAGAACACGCTCGTTGGCCATGTGATCAAATAGAACATCTGCCGTCGACGAGAGTAGCTGAGTAGCACTGAGTAGCACCGCTGATCACCGATGGTAACAAGCCGCAAGCTTCAGTGCTCTTCGGAACACCACCGTCTCGAAAGTTGTTAGCCAAAAGCATCATCTTCCGGTGTTCTCGGTGTTCCCTTGAAACCATCCTCCGGGCATTCTGGGCACCATGCCGGAGAGAGCTGAACCTGTCCGCAAGGGATTAGAGTCTTACCTTGGCCATGCAAACACCGACCCTCCCTCTGAGTGAGCCTTCTGCGCTTTGTCGGGAGCCTGCATGTGGACGCGCCAAAACGGATGACAACGCCCAAACCGGATTGGCTCACGGCTGCTTTTTTGGGACAACTCTTTCAAGGGATCTCCGTGACCCAACCGAGCCATGCAACCTTCAATAGTACAGCCAAGATCTTCGGTAGCCGCCCAGGGCACAACAGGCAGCTGAAGAGCAGAAGCTGCGGCAGCAGATCGCACAGCCTGGCCGGACGCAGGGGCGCCTAGAACGCAAGGGTACTGGTCATGATGGCATGATGACGTTGAGGATGACGACTACTAAATTCATAGTTCTGCCCATATGGTGTCATTTCATGGCAGTGTCAGCAGATGATGGTGACGATGACGACCATCATGTCGAGGATGTAGATGTGTTGCTGTACTTATTGATGATGACGACGGCGATGATGAGCATGTGCCTGCATGAGTGTATCAGACACAGACATACACATGGAGGTCACCACGCTGGCAGGCAAGCAGGGACACTAATATGGCTGACACCATGTCCCAGAGGCTCACTTGCCGGCAGTGCGATGACAGAACCTCCAGCTTGAAGCACCGTGGCCGCAGTATACATCCATGTGTTGAACTGCACGGTATCAGCAAAATGCCTTCCCATGACATGAGGTGCCTGTTTAGCGCCCTGGCGGTCGTTACTGACATGGCCAAGCCGGCGAGATTGTGTAAGAATCTTCTAGGATGGCTGGCACGCCGCATGAACCAGATTTTATGCTCTGTGATTCTTTCTGCAGGCTGTGCAGCTTCATCTTCCCCCGATGGAAAATGCAGGCAGCCTACGAAAATTGTGCGGTGATGAGCGAGACTCATGCAAAAGCAGGGGCGCCGTCAGACACTGGGCCTGGGGGGATATAAGAACACAGATCTGATTCTTTAAGAGTTCGAGTTAACTTCGTAATTATATCAGAACTTGAATGTGAAAAAAGCAGCTTGACAGTTATTGTTTGATTTTGAGATATTTGTCTCATTTCGAGTAGTGATTAATTAACCTGCCTACATATCAGAGGTATGATGTGACAGTAATACTTGGTCCAAAAATGTCAAACCCTCGGTGCCAAGGTGGATTACCTGGTGGATCCAAGCGAGCCACCACTGCCCGTCCAAGCCTTGGTTCCACCATCAGCCTTCATAGCCTTCATAGCTTAGCGGCTTAGCCTTCAAAGTGCAGATATGAATCTGAATGAGTGCTATTGCTGCGTGCAGGACCTTTGAATTGTCAGGTGATCCATGACTACCTCTTACAGCTGGCAGACGTAGCACAGAGTTGTGGGGAGGCTGGCAGTGGCTGTGTTCGTTTGTCTGATGAGCTTCCCTGACATGAGCGGGATATGCGGGCATGCTGGGCAGACGATTGACAATTCGCATTCTCGAGCTGTCCCGGCAGCTGACAGGTCGATCAGCGATTTGGACAGCTGGCTGCTTACTCTAAGCAGAAAGCCGCGATGATCCAGGCTTTGCGCACATGAGAGTCCAAGGTCCAAGGTAGACCCAGGCCCTTCGCTGTAAAACATCCGAACAGCTGGCAGCAAGCAGGCTCACCTTGCATCGACGCCGGCGGCACCGGTGCCTCAGGTCAGCTGTCTCGCTTAAAGTACAGCAAGCCCGAAGGCAAGCCTGTGCAAGCATGTAACATCATGTAAGGCTTCGATGATGCAAGGGCGAGCCAGTATGCAGGCCACTCGTGAAACCCAAACAGTTCGAGCAAAAGGTTTTGTTGAAACCAGCCACGCCCCAACGAAGGTTGCACTTGATGCTGTGAGTGATGCCCCGCTGATGCGATGATCGGTGGTGACCCTTGGTTGGTTGGGCACAACTGCGAAATGGAATCGTCCGCCAGCGAAGGAGGGAGGCTGAGAGACTGGTCTTCGAGCAGTTGTGGTCAAGCCATGAATCCCGGTTTTAATTTGGTGAAGCAACGATAGGGAGTTTCGACTTTTGCAGTATGTATCACAGCTTTCCCATAACGCGTGTCTTGACGGGATCGCCGTGCTTTGTGTTTCTCCAGGAGGTTGCCGTGGCAGGTCAAGCGCCCGCAGAGGCGGATTTCTGGCATTGCAAGCGGGTCGGTTGGCCATCAGTAATCGGTGATGCGACGTTGTGGTGCAGGCAGGCGACGCCAGCTCCAGCCAGCTTCCATCCGAGGCCTCGACACCGATGTTGACACGAAGCTAGCGTTTCACCAGGGCTGTCTGGCATTGCACAGGACAGGCGAGTGAAAAGGTAAGTCTTTCAGGTTGCGGCATCACGCGCTTGAGCGCTAGCTCGCTTGTTGCGGAGGTGGCCAGCGCCGTTGAAAAACAGCCACGGCAGGCAGCCGGCCGAATGCTGGAAATGTAGCCGTAGCCACCATGATGGGGGAGTGGGCAAACTGAACCACAGGTGCCAAGCGATGCTACATCCTCCGTGAAGGTGACTGCGTGACTAATGATGATGCTGAGGCCTTGAGGCCTCGACGGCTAAAGCTTGCCAGGCCATGGCTCCTACACCGACAGACGACACGGCGGAGAAGGCTCTGCATACTGTATAATCCTGCGAGGGCACCTCTTGTACAGAATCTTCAATCAGAACTCCATTGCAAAGACGGCCCCGGTCTGAAAGGCCGCTGGGGATTGAGACTTGCGACTTGCGCTGGCTGCTTGATCTGGCGCGTGTTGGAGCGGAGTGAGAGTGAAGTGCTAGTGATAGTGCTGCTAGTGGGAGGGAAAGCAAACAATGCTGAGAATGAACCAGAACTTGTTAATGAAGCGGCAGCTGCCAGATGGAGCCTTCTCAGAGCTAAAGAAATCGTGTCTGAGAAGTCTTCAGCCCGGTGGTCCTGCCGTCGCCTCGGCGACACGATGTCCTCGTGGCCGTTAACGAACTGCCGAGTGCATGTTCACGTTTCAACTGCCATCGGGTAAAGCCCCATGCAGTGCTTGTGAAATGCGCCAGCATCCAAGAACCTACAAGACCGCAGCTCGACCAGAGCAGCGCACAAGAAAGAGAGCCGGAGGCCACACTGTGTTGCAGTGTAGCGCGTTGGGTGACGGATGTCCTGCGGTTGTCACTCCCGGCCCTAGTTTCATTTTTTTGCGTCCTTTGCAGCGTGAACTGTCAAGCAAGTGCTAGATCTGCATGATGCTAGCAGCGGCCAGCGCAAGGAAGAAAGTAAGAAGAATGCCGAATCTCCCCAGCAAAGCGTGATTGGCCATGGCCAAGCTCTCGGAGGACGAGCGGCAGATGGTACGAGAGCTCGGCTGGCCTGTGGACACTCGGCGAATCCCGGTCCCACAATGGACAACTCAGCTGGCCATCATCATGGCCGTTTGCAGATCCATCGTTTCACACTCAGGAGTTATTGGAAGATCCACAGAAGCAGCCTCGACTCGTACATAGCCCGGAGGACTTGTGCAGCCTGTGCCATCCGTTCCCGTGCCAGTCGAAAGCGGAAGCGATTCCATTCGATTCTGCAGACTTTTTGGCTCCCGCGAGGAGTTTGCGCGAGCTCTTCTCCTCGAGGATCACCTGGAGGATCTCTCGGCAGAACCCCTGCCTTGGCCATTGATTGCCTCTCAGCATCTCTCAGCCCTCGTAGTGCGACCGTCTGCGAACCGTGGTCAAGCTGCAGATGTTTGGCGAAGTCCAGACTGTCGGATTCTTGCCGCATCTTGCAGCTGAAGGACGTCGTCATTCTACAAGACGGTCTGAAGAGGCAGCCGGCCTACGAGTGGCAGAAACAAGCTCATGCCGACAAGACATAAATGCAGTGTCGTTTCAACCAGGTGTCAACACCATGATCTGAAGCGAACAGACATCCTGCGCTGTAGGACTACATGCATCTGTAATGATGTTGTGCTTGCAATATCAAACTATGTCAAGGGATTCAAGGGTTTGCGCGATACATCAAGCGCGTCGATGCCACATTCACAGCACACTTCCAGCGATCCTCCTTTGCGGTAGCTGGGGGCCATGGCGCAAACAGAGGCTGGACCAGTGCCAAACTGCACATGGGCAAGGTACAAGCTTGTTTGCTGGGCATTGATTCTGCGGCCGTCATGAAGCGGTTCACACAAGGCGTCGCATCTCTCTCAGTCGTAATTCTTGAAACGCCCACGCCGGGACAGCGGGAAATCGCGGCTGGCTGTTCACTCGGGCATCGGCCTGAGCCAGATTGTGCCTTCGGAGCCTTTCAAACGCCTTCATGGTCGACATTGGTCGACCAAACTGCTGTCGGACGACCGAGACCAGCGACTGGCTGCCGCGAGTAAACCGCTAAGCAGAGCGCGGCAGTCGACCGATGTCGGTGGAAGTCTTTGGCCGCTGCGAGGATAGATCTGCTTGCGTGCCCTCCTTCTGCTACTACGCTGCTGCTCCTGCCGCTCCTACTCTTCCCACCGCTACAGCCACTGCTACTGCTGCGGAAGCTCCGCAGACGCTCAGCGGCCATCCCGCGCCCACGACGTCTTGAGCCCCGAAAGCTCAAGATAGCTCAAGCACACGCTGGCGAGCTGCCCCACGTCGTCATCATGGCCTATCATGGAACCCTGCGTGCGGAAGGCCGAGCGGAAGGGCTCTGCTCCATTCTGTCGACATCGAAGTCGAAGATGTGAACGCATAGCAACCTCGTTGTTACAGTGATGTGCGTGCAAAGACTTGAGCTCTGGGCTCTGCTGGTTGAATCTTTCTCATATCAGGGCCGGCCTGGCAGAGAGTGAGGCGGTAGCCTCGGTCGCATCGACATGGGCAGGACAGCAGGGCGGGGGGGGCGTCGATTGATGTTAGAGCAGTGATAGCTACCGTTTTGGGTCGGAGCACGTTGCCGAGTGGCAAGCTGTGACGGTCCTCTAGGGTCTGAGAAGCTTTTGAAAAGAAGCCCCTTGCCCAAGGCCTTGCCGCCTTGGCTCTCTAAAGCCCTTGATGACGCAGAGGGTTCAGTGCCTTGGTACGAAGTTCTGCACGTCAGTCTGGGCCTGTCTGTGTTTCTGTGGAGGTTCTTCAATGCCTGCGCCAGCTGGAGCCCGCCGAGCTGGCAGCCCACAAGGTGTCGGTATTCGTCCGTTCGTCTCACATTCGTCCGTCGTGCAGGAACCTCTCCAAACAACTAGCTTCCCGAAAGCAGGCGGCTTTGGAATTTCCGGATGACCGGGGCGTGCAGCGCGAGGCTTTGCCGCGCCCGCATCTCGGCGTAAGCGGGTTGTAAAGGTACTGGTGTTCGAGACTTTGCATGATGTCGGGGCTTCGGAGGTGACAGGGGCACCTGGTGTGAGAGAGTAGAATTGCAGACAGGCTCGTGAGGAAGCCTCATGCAGGATCTTTGATCTGTGCACTGAGCTTCCGGTGAGCTTGTGGTGCATCTGTGACATGATGTGACATGGAAAGCATTGAGGGTCAGGGGCTCCAGTGTGTTGCAGAAAGGTATCCGTTCTGCCTATGGGACGACACTGGCGCCGTGGCTTGCAAAGCTTCCACCCTACCATCCTGGTTGCGCCCGGGCGACAGCTTCATGTTTCACGGAGCGTACAGGTGCTACAAAACTACCCGAATCCAGCGCACTTCCAGAGGCCTCAATCTGGCTGAGCTTGTTGCCGAGTTATGGCGCCGTTGCCGGATGTTCAATTTTGCAGGCCTGGCGGGATCTTTCGCAGCGACTTGTCGCCGCAGAGGCATGGTTGGTAACCAGCGTAAATGGTTTCGTAGTCCTGTAATTAGCAGGCTCTTTTTCAAGCAAAGGATGTGTCAGACCAGTCTCAACTCAACGCATCAGGAGAGTGATGACATGAGTGTGCAGCTTTCAAGAGTTGAGGGGTTCTCCACTTCCGCTGCCAGGCTTTGAAAGCCAAAGGTGAGCTGGATGAGCCGCGCAGTTGCCATGTTGACAACTGGTCTTGTGTTGTGCGAGTGTGAAGTGGTTGCGTCGGGATTTGTCTTTGCGATCCTGTTTCCGTCTGTCTACGGCCGGGTTAAGCTCGTTAAATCTTGGACTATGCAAGGTGTGTGTGTGTGTGTGTGTGTGTGTGTTGGTTTTCCCGTCTTTGACCTGTTGTTTCCTTCGTTTCTTGTTCCCTATGACAATGACTTATGTTTTGGGAGGCGGGGACCATTTGGCTGCAACGGACAGGTCCTTCAGTTGATACTTTACTTGACTTGTGTCCGACAGCATGGTTGGAGCGTTGCTGGTGATCCGTCTGCCTTCCTCGTAGTTAAGATTCACGAGAGAATGCTGGTTAAGTTCTGAGCTGTCCCCTAGCCTTGCCTCCCAGGTCTCACTTATACGTTTGTGAGCTTCGGCGCTTGCGAGAGCGGCTTGCTTGAAAGATAACATGTGGGCCGAGGACTTCGCACGCAAAGTACTCTGACTGTGCTGAAATGCATTCTAGGGCACAGGGAAGCCTCTTTGCACGATGCTTTCTGGCTGTGGGCCTCAGACCTGCCACTCACCGTTCGTATCGGTTTTGGCAAGACAGACTGTGCGGAATGTAACGGAACATGTGTTCGACAACCGGTAGTCAGGGGTGCGATCATGATTGGTGTTTCAGCGAACTAGCGACTGCCAAGATTATTGCAATTCAACGGCTGACTTTGGGTTGCTCCGAGGCGTGCAGCCAACGAAGCTGCAGCTGGCTACGGATGCACAGAGCCAACGAAGAGCTTGTGCCAGCGTCATGCGCGCGACTGGTTCGGAGAGCTATCTCGTTGGACGCTCTACTGGAACTGCCTGGAGTCCCGGAGCTAACACTATTGGCCCAAGTGTGAGATTCTGCGACAGTCCTTTGCTAATCTTTGCTAGCTTGCTGCAATTGGGATGTTCTTCATGTTGTATGTTTTGGGACTATAATGTGAGGTTATGACGATGGGATCTTCATTGGGGGGCGCGGAAGTGGCAAAGGGTTGCACGTGGACCAGGCGGCTTGGTTGAGATTTGGGGCATTTCTGCCAGAGAGATCCAGAGAGCCATCAGCGCGACATGCCTCCGGGATAGCAGGTGCTATGGAGCAATATTGGCAAGCAGTGGAGGCACGGATGCAATCCGAGTCCTGCTTGTTCAGTGCGAATCTGTCCGCATCATCTCTGCGGTTCCTTTGTTTAGCTGCCCGTGTCTTCATCCCACAATGCTGCAGGGGTTACAAGCTGATGGTTACTTGGCCAGCAGGCCACCTCACAGCGGTGTGTAGCAAAGTGCATGTCTGCATGCGGCATCATTTCACCAGCAGAGAACACAGGGAGCCAGCCTCCGATGTGATCTCCCGATGTCCCCAGCGAGAGTAATGGCAGTGTGGATCATGAGGGAGCATGGAGGGCAGATGCTGTGCGCATGTTGGCCCCTCCCCGCCCCCCCCCCCTCCCCCTGTGCCGATACACCCACAAGGAATACTCCTTGTTAGGAGGTGTATGACCAGTTATTCCCTAAGGATCAAAGGGCAGCGCCCTGCACACGGACAGTAGTTGTTTTGTCTTGCTACGCAAGGAGAGCTTGTCTTGTCTCAATATGGTAAAACCACTGTGAGCCAATGGGCAGCGGAATGTATATGTATGAGCATGCAGCCATTGCTGTAGGTACCTGTTAGAGCTACCCCTTTAGAGGTTTATGGTTTCAAACAGACACTAATTTTCTTTTACCGGAAGCATGGCCGCACATTCACACATATACTATTATGCCCACTGTCACAGTTGCGGAGTCTGGACTCATGATGAAAACAGCATATTATTTAAGCTAGGTATAGCACTGAAGTACACTGCTGAGGACACTCCTTTTGCACACACTCATGCATGTTGGTCAGAGAGATCGTCTGTACAAGATCATGTCTGGTGATATTTTCTACATCGAATTATGCAGCCCTTCACTTTGCTCTTGTTAGAGCTTTGTGAGTCACTGTTGTGAAACTCCGAGATTTTCCTTATCTCAGATTTGGATCCAGGTTTGGATCATAGGCTCGAGCGTAGACGTTCGGATGTGGCTCATCCGGGTCTGAGTGATCTTCTTCGGAACTTGAATAAATTCCGAGTAGTCTGTTCTCAGCCCTGGTGAAGGCGGCGTCTGCAGTATCATATCCATGGTTGGATGTTGTCGCCTTTGGCTCGGCCTTTGGCGCAGCTTGTGAGCTGACTGGAGTTGCCTTGGCTTTAGCCGGTTGTGGCTGCTTAGCCTTTGCCCGTTCAGCCCTTCTTCTTTCAAGCTGTCCGTCTGAGGACGCCCATGATCTTTCACTTTCATCTCCTGAAGGAGATAAGGCGTGGGCATAAAGGCTATTCCAGTACTGTGCTGCAGAAGGAGTTAGGACTTCTTCATTGTCAGATTCTGACTGGTCTTCCTCAGAGCTTTGGTCGTCAAAGAGTGTCTCGAGGACATTTTTGAGATTGTTATTTCTTCGCTCTATCTCTAGTGAGGAATGGACCAATTGGTTAAAGACTGTCCTTGAGTCCTTCAGTGCTGTTAGAAGGATTTCCACTCTGGATAGAGTATCTTGGATGGTGTCAAGATGTTCCTTCCTTTCCTCCTTGTCTCTCTGGATAGAGCTTCGCAATGATTGTGCGATTCTGAGGAGGTCTGTGTATTTCGTAAGAGGCATAGTTACCGTTTGATTGTCATGTATGACAGTTGTTTCGTCGCCGCTTAAGTTCCTGAATAGGACTTCCACGACTGGTAGAAACTCCGTGCTCCACGGTTCCTCTTCATCATATGTTTCTACGTGCTGTAGCACGCGTTGTGTAAACTGATCGGCTGCTTCTACCGTTGCATCGATAGAGCTGACGTGTCTTGCTGCCATGTTTCGACACGTAATGTTAATTGCCTGGCCTTGATTGGCTTCGTTAAGTGCAGCGTCTGCATAGGTGCAGAGTCCACTGTTGTGGGCTTCTCTGGCTGCCTTTCGTTGAATGCGCCGATTTTGACCTCCTCTTCTGGTAGGACCTTTTGGTCTCGGAGGATCTGAAGGTACTGTTCCTTTCGCCTTTGGCGGAGGACTCTTAGGTGGAGGTGACATGTTTGCCTTGTTAGGCCCTGGTGGCATTGCCTTGGGCGCTGACGACGATGCGGCACTTGAGAGTGCAGATGTACCTTTGGCTTTTGCCGAGGATCCCTTGGGGATCGATGTATAGGTAATCTGCATGGCTTCTTCGGCCATTTGTGCATGCAATGCATCTTTGAATAATTGCGTCATATGAGGAGTGGTACTTGCATCATCGTAGGTCTGGAAGCGCTCAATGTCTCTTTCGGTGCCACGTGGACGTGTATCACCTCTTTGAAAAGGATCGTTCCTGCGAATCTCCGCAACTTGTACTGCATGGAGGCAGTTTTTGCACAGCACCTTCCTGCAAACATCTCTTGCTTGCTTGAGCTGGTAACAGCTGTCTGAGAGATGGTAGACTTCGCTTCGGGAAGTATGCCAGATAGGTCGCAGATCAGTTGTTTCTCCGGAATTGACCCTGTTGGGTCCTAAAGGTTCACGCGTCTGCGGTTCATCCTCGGGTTCGAGGAATGGAACTCTTTGGTTCGCTGCTGCTTTTGATTTTGGTTGTTGGCGCTCCATACATCTGATAGGAGGCCTGGTAATCTGCTTCCACATCCAGTGTAAGCCCATTAGCAGCAGAAACACATTCCACGCGATGCTGAAGACGGAGAAGTCCTGCTCACTGGTTAGTGAGTTTGGAAGTGAAGTTTCATCAGTCTTGATAGACTCTGCGTTCGCTCCACCTCGGTTGCGGTGTCCGAACCAGCCCGACAACCCCGCTGCTGTAGCAGCTGTTCTGAGTGCCTTGCCGCTCGGAGCAGACGGTGGACGCGATGCCTTCCTTCTTCTCCTCCGGCTGGAGGATTCGTCCTCTTGTTCCTCTTCATCTCTCTGAGCAGACATCAAGTTTGATGTTTCTCTTTCGTGTTCTTCGATGTCACTTTTTGTTGGTGACGGTTCTTCTTCTAGTCCATCCAGCTCTTCCAAAGACATGTTGAGCTTGTCAACAATATTGGTTCTTTGAGGCCTGGACCTTGATCTTGGTAGATCTTGTTGTGAAGAGGACGATGATTCCTGGTTCCTTCTTGGAGGAGGACCTTCAGGCTCGCTGGGACGTTCAGGCTGTGGCCATTCCCAGAATCTTCCGTATCTGTGATGGCTACCTGATGGTTGCGATCTGTCGTACCAGCTGTTGCCGGATGAGTAAACGAATGAATCTTTGTAACCCCAGTATTCAGCATTACGCTGCTTGAAAGCCTTTCGCTTGTCAGCGATCTTCTGAACCTGGGCATCTGACCGGTTGTGTTTCCCTTTTGTAAGGATTGGTTGTATCGTGAAGCCCAAAGGGCTGTGCCAATCTTTGTCAGAGGGACTCAACCATAGGTCAAGGTTAGAAAAAGTTGAATAGTACTGCTTGACTGAGACAAACAGACGGATATCAATATCCCTGTTATTGTTCATGTCCTGCCACATATCTGAGATTCGCTCCCAGTATGTTCTTTCGGCGGCAGGTGTAACATCTCTTGGACTAGGTGACGCCGTGTGCGGCGTTTTACTCCAGTCAAGGATATAACTGTTGATACAGTCAAGGTCAGCAACTTTCTTCGCCGGGTCCGCCGGTAGACGATCTGCACGTGCCAGTCTGTGCTGGTCGGAGTTGTTCAAGCAAAGATGTCGCACTTGTGAGTGCCTTCCTGCTATTTTGTTGAATGCTGCAAGTTTCTTCTCCAGGTATAGAGAAAACAAACTGTTTCGCGGGTGAACGTCTCCACCTTTTAAGGTGAGCCTCGACGCAATATTATTGAGATCTCCCGCTATTACATCCGGTTTAAAAGGGAGAATCTCGTTGAGGAACGCGTTCACCAGTTCGCGTCTCTGTTCTTCCTTATGAGTCATGAATGAGTTGAAATGGACGATCGCGATGGTGATGACCTTGTAAGGCCCTTTTGTACACCACATCTCGTCAAGATCGTTCGATGCTTCTTGTGAGAAGATCTCTGCGTATGACTCAAAGTCTTCCTCTGGTGGCTCATCACCCTCGACATGGCCGTTCCATTCACAGAGAACCGGCGAGGGGTCGAGGTTCGACAGTGTCAGGCACGCCTCTGGTGAGAGGTAAGAGCCATCAGTGGGTCCATCCTTGTCAGGATTTTTGCCCTTGAGTGGGTCATATCCGATAATCTGCATGAACTCGTCTCTCGTCATCCTTTGGCCAGAATATGGGTGGACCCATTCTTTTGCCTCCTGGATGGTACTGTGGTACCCAAAGGTGAGGCGGCATACCGCACCGTGGCATGCCCACAGTCGCTTCTTGGGACCACCATTCTTCGGCTTCATTGTTCGATGACGGTAAAAGTGGTGGACGAGAGCAATGTCTGTTGTTGGGTCACCCTTGACTCCAATATACATCGAGGGTGCCTCAGGCTCCTTGGGAGGAGAATGGATTAGCATCCCCCTGTATTCATGTTGTCGCATGGTTGCGATCGAATACTCTGACGCAAGTGCTCCTGCCTCGAGTACGAGGGTAATATGAGCTGAATTGTTGAAGCACATGTCAATAAGAGGGTGATAATCGAATCCCTTCTCAGGTTTGAGCTTCTTTTTGGGATTCCCTGCGGGCACCGGCGCTCGATCCATATTTCCCCAGTTGAATACCACTAGGTTTAGCGATACGCTGTCTGGGTTTGAGCCTTCAATGTATTCTCTCTTCTCGTTAACACCGGCCATCCTATTGCGAACTATCTCGTAATGTGCGTCGAGCACCAGTTTGTCTTCGTAGCCAGTAAGAGAGAGAAAAGAAGCCGGGTGGCTTGTTCTAGAGTCCTTGATATTGATGTGACTCTTGTTAATGCTCTTGTATTCCTCCAGGGTTGGAGCCTCTGTGGAGCTGTCATACGTATTCGGAGGATTGTTCCTAATATCATCAAGGCTGCATGGATCAACGCCTGGATGGTCTTTCTCGAACAGATTTCTTGCGTGGTCGCAATACATGTTGATTTTCTGGACTGCCAAATCTACGTCCTCATGTGTGAGGATGGCCTCGTATAAAAACTGACGCTCTTCTGAGGTCATTCCTGCTCTCACTTTAGAGGTCTCGAGGCAATCGATTGGCAAGACGCACTCGCACATCCGTTGTTTACCCTGTGGGGTAAGTCGACAGTCTGCACATACAATCGTACCACAGGAATAGCAAAAATAGCCTGTAGGCTGTTTGCAGAGATCGCAGAGAGGATTGTCTGGTCGAGGCAACATCCGTATCCTTTGGTTAAGGCTCATGGCTGTCCTGCGTACTCCTACAAATCTCTCCTTGGTAGGAGG